CTTAGACAACTGGTAAACCAGAGCAGAGACCACCAGAGTCACCGCTCTGAATGAATCATTCTCATCATCACTCTGAAGAAGGACCACACTGCCATGACTACAGACATCCACGTTTAGATTTAACAAACCACCAGTCTTTAAAATGACTACATTATGTTCTTGTAATTATCTTCTGTGTGTCTCCTATCTCAGCGCCTTTGTGGTGGCGTTTTTCCCCTCTAGAAAAGCTCCCTTTTGCTCTCTGACTAGGGTTGAGTCTCTTAGATTTCTTGCCAAACCTGCCAGTAGGGATTGAACCTCTCAGATTATGTGTGCTCTCCCTGACTGTGCATTCACACTGCGATCAGCTTGGTTGAAAGGTTACACAATTCTGACTGCGTTTGGAACTGCATCGACGATCCCAAGTACACTAGTCACTGCATGTAACAACAGATAGGTGTCAGACATCACAAAAGCTAAATGCAACTGAAACATTTGAGAAATGAAAACGGTGTGAATGTGTTAAATAGTTAGCTAGCTAAACTGTAACAAAAATGCTGAAATGCAGAGGTTTAAAACGGAATAAACAAATAAAATTACATAAGAGCTAACCATGGCTGCAACTGCTCCTTAAGGATAGTTGTTTCATCTTTTTTTGTACCCTGTAGTCTTTCAAATAAAGATTTATATATAAATGGGGATGTTTAAATGCCTGTTACAATGTGCTAACCCATTTTACACTTGTTAATACGAGCTGTGGTACATTAAAACGCATTCTGGCAGGGGGATATAGTGGTGTGGCAATGGTTTTTATTGCCCAATCCCAATAAAAATTTCCGTTGTGGCTGCATTTTTCTCATACAAGTTTAACTATTTGCACATTAGCCAAATATCTCTAGTAACCTGATCACGTTGCTTGTAGTGTGAATGCACGATAATGGTGTGACTTGGCTGCCTTCATGTGTAACTTTTTACACAGTAGCCTAGCAAGCAAGGAATTGTTTTGTGCCGTAAGCATGTCAAATTGTCATCTGTGCAAAACACTGTTCTGTTTTTTATGTTTGATTTTATGTTATGAAGATTTTGCTCTCTTGTGCTTTTATTTATACATACTTCTATATTCCTATAAATCTTAAGAGTTTTAGTTTAGAGTTAAAGTAGTGCTCAGTACTGCAGTCTTGGCTCACATAGTGCAATTACTACAAACAATGTTCTCACTGGTTATGGAATTCCTGGAATATCATGGGATTTTACCATTGCATCACTTTACAGGAGTGTAGCAGAATATATTTTCCAACTTTCACACATTCATTGAATTAGTTGGTGTTTTGAAGCAAGTGGCTTTAAAAAAAAAAGCCATGGAAGTGCTCAATCGTAGGCCAGATGTCCTGTATGGATTTCCTCACCACCTCACCTTCCCAACTGTCACCTTTGACCTCAAACTAGTGCTGAGCAAAGTTAGTGTGCATTTATAATGAAAATGAGACGCACTCGCAACGTTGTGTTTTAGGTAAACAAGGCAGGCATGTAGTGATTTGTACCACTTGTGTCATAGATCTAAAATCCAGTTTACACAAACAGAGTACTATTTTACTGAATTTTGTATTTATCTGCTGATTGTATCTTATGCTATACATATATATTGCACTCATGCATTTTAAGTGACAGATTGAAAGAAAGTAAATACATAAAAGTCAAACCTGTCTTTTGTCTTTTTTGGACACAAACCCCATTCCTAAACCTCACGTAACGCAGAGTACTGTTTCCTTGCTTTCCCTGTCTCCTTTTTTGTTCTTGATCGCACACACCCATTATATTTTCCGAATTCAATGAAGGCCACATCAAAACAGTCTGCTGACCTTCTCCTTGGAGGGAAAGGAGGTCACTACAAGAGTGTCTGTTATGGTTACAAATGCAACATCACTCGATGATGGATTTGATTTGATTTATGAGGAAAAACTGAAGTCAAAATTTGTACTGTTAAGTTTTTGCTTCAGAGTGATCAAGGTTTTTTTTTTTCCCCTTGTTTGACATCAAGAGTGTTTGCATTCTTGTTGACCTCCCTGCCTCTCAGCTCCATGACATCAATTCTTCCAGCTGTAATTTCCACCAGATCCAAAATGCCTGTTAGGAAAGGAGGAGCGAAGGATGTCCGGTGCTCAGAGGAAACTCTGTGCTGTTCAGTTAACACATTGGCCCAGTTTAGAATCACCAGACCTTGTTCTGCCTCGGGCGCTAAGCAGCCACTCCACAGTATATATTTAGCATTACTGTGTTTCATACAGGGCTGGTGAACCTGAGTTACACCAACGTATGAAGCAAATGGTTGTGTTTTCTTGAAAATCTGATGTGGTATAAAAACATAACCCTTTTTATGCTAAGCTAACTGGCTGCTGGTGGTAATTTACCACACAGACATCTCAGCATGAAATATAAGTGTATAATACAAAATGCTAAACTTTTAACATACATTTTTAAGGCAGCAGGACAAGTGTTTTAAGAGTACTCTGCTGATTTAGCATTGCACTCCTAAAAATAGTATTCCATGGATTCTCCTGGTGTCTACATTACCCACAATGCAACTCAACACCTAACGGTTTGTTTGGCAATTCAGTTGTGATATGCTTGTAGGGGCTAATGTAGTGTCAAACTGTTAGCCTCAAGCAGAGATAGCAATTTATCAGACTTCAGGCAGCTCTCTAGACCCACTAAAGACTTCATGCAACTTTTAGTACATCTGCAGAAGTACTCGCAGACGTTGATGTGTAAAATCAGTGGGGATCACCTTTAAGTTGATTACAATGCTAAATAATAATAATTTTGGGACTTTAAACTGGTCATAGAAGATCCTTCACATCAGAACAAAATATCCATAAACAGGTCAAATTTCAATATGTCTTTTAGCTGTGTTGGTTTTTAAGGCTCTGTATGTTTGTGTTCATCATCCCTCGCTGAACTGAGGCACCTCTGTCCTGTCCAGCCGCCTCCCTGCAGCACCACCCAACATCTCCAGACTCTGAATGGCTGCCTTGTGTCATCTTTTTTTGCAACAAATGTTGTAGTTTGGGTAAATAAAAATCATTGCACTGTATTGAACTCACAGCGGAAACAGAAACAGGTCTCTTATTGTGTAGTAGTGCGTTACCTTATGTCTACCAGTCTAATAAGGGAAGTCTGATAGTTGAAAAATTTGATTGCGTCATCCACATGTTTTTGTACTGATGGGATACCCCATGGGAAGTGAGCATATTATTGGGAAAACTGCAGTTCAGTCCTATTATATGTTTGATTACACAAATGCAGACCCCTGTTCATTTCATTTCTACTCTTGATTGGTAGCAGTACTAAAGAATTATGTTGTGCATTTGAGAGGGTGCTTTTAAATGGAATGTTTCTCACACATCGAATAAACAGTTACAACAGTTGATTTAGGGCTGTAACATAAAATTATTTACAATACACTCATAATTAAATAGCTTGGTTAATAAATGTTTGAAACTGTGAAATAACGATTGCAAATCCATAAATCCCAAGCTGACCTCTTCACATTGGGTTTACTGTTTGATGCACAGTAACAAAAATACTGATTGTAACATCATATAAGACAAAGAAAAGCAGGAAATTGTCACATTGAAGAGGCTGGAACTAATTTCTGGTATTTTGTTGACAGTGGGAACTCAGCAAGAGTCACCAAGGTCAAAACCAGGATTAACATTTTTTTCAGGGGGGTCACACATATTTTTCCACACCCTTGTGTGAATCCAGACTAAAGTCTGGAAAAAGTTTGGAGTTTTGGAAGCCATCGTGTACTGGAACAGCTGTGTGTAAAGTGCAACCGACCTGCAGACTTTAACACGTCTGTTTGTCTTTGCTGAAAGCTCACAGTCCCAGTCGCTGCCGGAGCTCCTCCCAGTCTCCAGATCCCAGAACTCTGCCTCAGTCCCTTTCCTTGGAAACTCTGCTGGATTCTTGTGGCATTTTAACTGGCATGCCTCCTGTTAAAGCCACACACACACACACACACACAAGGTATTTCTCTTTTCTTTTTATGTCATCATTTCCCCTGAATAGATTCACAACCCCATATTTCACTTAACCACTGATGTCTTTTATTGCACTAGAAAAGTTTGGCAAGCAGGCCTGATATTTAGCCAAATTAATAAAAGGGCTGCGTGTGTGTGTGTATGAGTTTATAACCACAGTATACTCTTGTATACAGGCATGCAGTGTTTTCTATTTGCAGCAGAATTCAATGAGATAAACAAGGTTGAAACAACATACACTATTTCCAAGAATGGACGTTCGTGCTTAACGTTTAATTCAACACAGACAAGAATTCCTACAAAGGAGATTGAGTTACAACAGCGAGCTCGCATGTCAACAGATGCATCTCCATGACAACTGAGCAAACTCCATCAGCTGATGAAGACCGTATCATACAGTTAAAAGCTCCAGAAAAACACAGTGAGTGGATCTTGAGTGTGGATTGTTTTGTGGAACTATACATCAATGTTTTTATAGATGTTTCACTGACAGTATCATGCATTTTTGTTTACACTGCTGGTTGCCTGAATGTGGGTGACAACCTTGTGTCTCCAGATAAGATTTAAAATGCTGTCAAAAAGAAAAACATGTATCTCCAAATTGGGTGAACTGAAGGATGAAGTGTTACATCATGGGTTGACAAAATAATTTGAAATAAAAACATTGGATTGGCTGAGAAAGCTGAGAACAGGGCTGCTTTTCTTAGCTTGTGACATTCTGGAGATATATGGTTTTCTTTGGACAGAGAGGCATTATCACAAGGCTTAGAACGAGTCTGTTTCCACAGGACGGAGACTTGTGATGTTGTCCCCCCCTATGTAAAACTGCAGAGTTCACACAGAGAGTGGAAACGGGAGATGGAAGCAAAAACAAAGAGCCTTCCTGTTGTTTGGCAAGAAAGGCGAGAAGTCCTGAACAAGGCAGAGAGAGGAGTGCCGGCAGGCAGACCACTGGGATGTGATTTATGTATTAAAAAAACACCTTTCAGCAAGGGTCTGGGTGTGTGTGGGAGGGTGTAACCGGCTGCCATTCACATTTCTAATGATCTCTAGAGTGAAAGAAAGAGAAGGGAGAGACAGATAGTGGAGAGAGAGAGAGAGAGAGAGAGAGCAACTCAGAGGTGCAGAGGGAGTTTTGCTGCTGAAGTAAAAGTAGAGTTATTAGGAAGCAGAAAATGGGACCGGCTGCCACCTCGCTCGCTCTCCTGTGTTTATGTTCTCTGGGTCTGTGTGTTCCTACAGGGACGGCTGATGCTACACCAACACAGGTCAGGACTGTATGTATATTTTTATAACTGAAACATGGACTCAATTAACTGAAAATAGTTCTAAGGGATGTTGCTGGCACTGTTGTTTGCCTGTTTGTCTGGGCAAAGCACTGTATCCATTCACAATGTTTGCATGTTTTTACTGTACGTGTGAGGGAGGGAGTAAAGTTTGCTAAATATTATGCTGAGATTGCTAAAGTGCAAATAACTCTGCTTAAGGAAGATACAGTGTCATGTCAATGTTGTTTGTTAGTAAGTGATGACATCATGGGCGGATGACATACACGAGACATGATAAGGATAATAATGCCACAACCGCAGTGGTGAGAAAAGTATTAATCATGATACACCCAGAGGAGCAGGTCTGCCTGGCAAGTTTTTCCTCCACCAAGACGTAATGTGTGTGTCAGACTTCAAAACGAAACACCAATCGCCCTCTTGGCAGTCCACAAGCCACTTTGGGAACATGTTGATACATGTGATTATAAGGGTATTGCAGATACTGATATTGAATGATACTGATGCTTTCAACTGTGGGTTTCAAGCTAGTATTGATGGATAAATAATTTGGTTGACAATGCTAAAAGGTAAATACAAGCTATGGTGCATACAGTACCCACACAGATTGCTGAAGACAAAGACACAACGTGCTAAACATTTCTTTTCATTGTGGTCCTCATGAGAGAAATACAAAAAATTCTACAAGACAGACATAAGACTGGTTATTTAAGAAAATTTTTTTTACAAATGGAATACAAATGAGTTGAACTCCCTCTTGTTTTATGATTATGACATTGTTGGAAAAGTAGCCAAATGATTTGACTATTTCTTTTTTCTACTGTAAGAAAATTGGAATTTTGAAATCAGGTCAAGGCATGTGCAGGGAGGTGCTTTTGATTGGTTTGGTCTACTTGGAGCAAAGACGCTAACAGAACTTAACTGTAGCAGAAACAGCGTCTGAGAAAAGTTGACATTGTGATTTCACTGTGATTTCTGTGTCAGGCATCCCTGTTAGAGGTGAAGAAAGGAAGAGGAGATGTCCCTGATATTCTTCCAGAGCCTGAACCAGAGCCAACCAGCCCAGTGTCAGACTTTGAAAACTCATACAACTATGTCTGTGAGTCTCCACTTACATTTCCAGTTCAGGTTTAAAGATTCATACAGAGAAACACTATGGCCATATCCCTGTTCTGTAAGGTAGCACAGTCTGTATTCTAATCTTTTCTATCAGTGTCCAGACTAGCCAGTATGGACCAGGCGATCCACAAGCTCAATGTTGGTCACTACACCCTGGATGTTAAAGTCAGCCAGTTGATGGATCGCCTGTCAAGGATTGATGGTAAGGAAATCACTTTCTCCCACAAATCTACAGATGAAATCCACGTTCTTACACTTTTTGAATCTATATTTCTAGTATTTCCACCAAACTCAGTCAGTTTCATTGTAAAATGGACAAATGAAGGATAAATGGGCACCACCTTAAAAAAGGTGAAAAATCAGCAGCGAGATGCATCGGTTTTCCAAATTTTGTTGAAATTTGTGTTAATATTGCACAGGATAAATTAAGGAAGATGAATGAAAACAAAACAATGAAAAAATTGAAAAATGAAATAAAGGGATCGGGATTAACTACATCTGCTGTCCTCCATAGACCATTATTATCATTTAATCACCCATAACAAGATGTAATGGTGCAATCAACTTGAGACAGGAGTTTCAATTGCACCTAGAGTGAAAAAAGGTTGAAAAGAACGAGGCCCTGTGTTGACTTTCACGTCTCCTTGTTTTTGTTGTTCCCCATTACTAACATGGCAGCTAAAGTTGGGGAGCTGGAAGACAGCATCCAGGAAGTCTACCAGCACAGTAAGGACAACCGCAAGGAGACTGGAAGACTGGAAGGTATAAATCTCTTTGCTGCACCCCGTCTGCTGCCTAATTATCTTGATAAAAATGATGACAGAGACACATGGTTGAAAAGGGAGGCCTTCAATATCTATCTCAGGCATTGTATTTTCGTTTCAGTCCAAGACTGAAGGCATGTACGAGCAGGTGTAAAGGCATGAGGGACTGCGGGGTGTGGCACTCACCATGCCATATACATGTAAGCCTAAACGCTCCAATCGGGCTAGTATTAAAGATAAAAAACACTTTTATGTCTTGTCACTTAACATCTACTAATTTATCATATTAAACAAATAATGTGTTCAGTTATCAGTCATTTCTTTACTTTGTATTTGATTTAAGTGGGGTTGCAAATGCTGTGTTACAGACAAGATATTTACAAGGAAATAATTATTTCTCTATTCATTTAAAGGGAAATGTGTGAGTGTAAGCTAGAAAAAGCAAGACGATGGGTAAACCAAGCACATGATGCAACATGCAAGACTTTAAATATCAGTGTTCAGTATTATGCAATACCAACGATCGTTGTAACAGAGGATCAGAACCAATCACCTTCAGGCAAAATCTGGGCCTCAGACCGACTTTATGTTTACATCAAAGACGTTTGTTGGAAAAACATGACACAGCTCTGTCAGCTTATAAAGATCTCTAGGAATGAAACAATGTATGAAGGAAACGTTTCCAGACACAGTTAGTATTGTAGTAGTATTTGTTCAAAATGAAATGAATTCATTCAAACTGATAAATACTAAACTGAGAATTTGTTCTTATGCCTGGTACCGAAACCACTTTTTTAAAGCTCCACTAATCAATAATTTTCTATTAACAATGGGTCAGATGGCTGTGTATAATGTGAAAGTTTTTAAGAATTATAACCCAACTCTGTATTTCCCCTTGACTCTGGTGCGTTTTAGCATCTTTCAGCTCATTGTTTTGTTTTTAAGGCCCATAACTTTTCTGTTTTGGTTCAGGCTCTCATCATCCTTCAGTTTTTACTGAAAAAGTTCTAAAAACCCATTGTACGCTTCCTGCTGCACCAAACGCACCAAACGGTAGGCAAAGTTAGCAACTAGATGGTGAACATAGAAAAGCATTTAGCACCTCAAGAGCCAGATATTTCCCTGAGGAGTTGGTGGAGACCCAAAACCACACTAAAAGGAGAGTGACTATTGGACTGCATATTAATGCTTTTTTATTAATTTAGCTCTGCATCTGCTGTGTAAAATAAGTTTTCTTGCCCTCACAGAAACAACCATGATGAGAATGTGTAAATGTTGTGTTTAGAGTTTGTTACTCTGTCCCCAAGTAGCCAAACAAAATCAGTTAATGCTGGTTTTATGATCAGATTAAATAACTTTTTTGTCTTTTTGATACTAAGGCTCTGTTTGAAACAGAAGGCTGTTGCCTCGCTACCGTAGTAGACAGGTGTCTCAGAAGGCATAACTTTTGAGTGAAGGAAACTCTATGAACATTGGTTTTGAACAGCCTTTTAAGGCACCATTTACGACAGAGCCAACTGACTGAGTTTTGCTTCTCTTCCAGCTGTAGGTCACTAGCCTTACTGTCAGTTGGCTAGCTATTAAAAAGGCAAATGGCTAACAGAGGCCTCAGAAATCATACCAAACAATCTTGGTAGGTTACAGTCACATGCTAATAAGACAGTTCAGTGTTTAGTTCTAGCTAACTTTTCAAAAATCGAAGCGAAAAAACTACTGGAAACTTTTAAAAACATTTTTGTAGACAAATTTTGGCTTGTTTATCCGCCATCTTGTCCGTTTTTCGTGAACTACCGCACACAGATTTATGGGTAATAGGCGGCGAGTCATAACTGACCGTTATGGGGGCAGTTTGAAGGCATCTTACGAGACAGGAAAAGATCATTTGATCCGTTTTGAACAGCACTCAAAGCCTCGCTGTCCTGTTAGACACCTTCTGAGACAGCATTTTTAGCCGTTTTGAACACAGATTAAGTAAAACATTTTCTAATTCTAAACATGTGATGAGCCATCTGTGTGTTTGTGTTTTTCTCTGCTTCTTAGGTTGCCAGAAGGGACACAGATTGGGATACAAGTGTTATCTTGTGTACAATAGCTATGAGGACTACGCCGGAGCTGCCAGAAAGTGCCTGGAACGCGGCGGCCGCATGGCGATGCCCCGCGACCGCAAGGAGCAGGAGGCCCTCGCTGACTACGTCAAGTCATTCTTCCACCCAGGGAACTGGCCCGTCTGGCTGGGCATCAACGACCTGCGATCTGAGGGCATGTACCTCTTTGATGACGGTACGCGGGTCTCATACTTCCAGTGGCGCAAACACTTCCTGTCCAGCCAGCCGGACGGAGGGAGGCGGGAGAACTGTGTGGCGATGTCGTCAGACGATGGCGACTGGTGGGACCACTACTGCGACCGGACCATGAACTATCTCTGCGAGTTTGATGACAGGGTGGCACTTTAAAACAAACTTTTTTAAAGCTAGCATTACTCTCTCACCACCTTACTACTACCTTAAACTTTGATCTCCAGTTTTGATCACTGAAAATAGATCCATTATATTTTCAAATTACTTATTTCCACTTAAAAGACATTTTAAAAATGTCCCTGGATTGGTTGTATTCAAAAGAGAAGAAGTCCTCATAGAAAAGTGCATTTTATTAGAAAAATTCCAGTATAATTTTATTTGTATATGCAATTAGCGTAGCATTGACTTGTTGTTAGTATCTTACAGGATAAAAACATTTGCTGCGAAAATATTTCACAGAATTGTAGGTTTTTAAGGTGAAACATGTCTAAAATGCGCACAAATTCATGTATTGCTATTTAAGTTCTGAAAGTACTGAATAAGACTTAACCAGATAAGTATTTAAATATTATATAAATCATGTAGCTGCAGTGATATGAATGTAAACCAGAGAGGACTCTGGTTTACATCCGCTGTGATTTCACGCCTGGAATTCTAAATATTTGTTCAACGTTTCCAAAAAAAAAAAAAAAAAAAGGGAAAACATGAAAAGCTGGAGGCCCTTTCTTCAGAATCAGCACATACTAAACCTCTTGAAGATATAAATACAATGTGTATTTGGGCTTAGCAGGAATTATGGAGTGCTTCTCTGTTACTTACTGATCTTTTAAGATATTTTAACAAAGTCGGTACCCGAGTGTGACTGCCATGTTAAACTGCTGATTCGGAAAATATCTGGCCAGAACATTTTTTAGTCTCATACCTGAATCCCATCTCACCCCCCAAAATAACACACTGTCACTGTATTTAAATGTATCCTGAGTTAAGACACCTACAGTAGGTAAAACAAGAAAGTTGTACATAAAATGTTGAATGTAAATGTTTTTCAAAAATCTTTACTAAAGGTTGACATGATATACAGCACCATTTGCACTCCATGGGTAAAAGAGACATTCCAGTAGGGCTGGGTATTCTTTGAAATGTTTTCTATACAGTGCAGATGTAGTATCTGAGTTACAAAAAGGCATAAAGGTTTGATGCCACACTCGTCAGAAAACCTTCAAACTGTGCACAGTTCATGACAAATTGTCTTATTTTATTTATAGATATGAAAAGATCAGATCTGTAGAACAGCAGCAAATACATATTTTTCCAGGTGTAAGCAAGTTTTAAGATTTAAATCTTAAGAGTGCAGTTTAATCTTAAAATGCATTAAAAGATGAAATTAGAAACAAAGGATGCAGCAGCATAGACTTTTCTTTCCTTCATCTTCTCACTGACCACCCACATAGAAAATAAGTTTCATGAAGTAGGAAGTGGTAACATCATGTTTCTGGGTTATCAAATTAGAAATGTTACCTCTCACGGCCGCCCATATCCGGAGATGCGTAATGCATCGTTAAATTAAAGCCTTTACGTTACAGATCTGGATAAATTTGCTAAGCCAATCTGTGTGCGTTAAACTTATTCTTAATTATTAATATTATTGATTGTAATTGAATTACATGTAATCCACTAGTACCACTCATTTATAAATGCACCAATCACAACACTGACACAACAAAGAAGATCAGATGTCTTTGCTTCACAGTTCTCAGTTACGCCTCTTCATGGTGTCATGAGTGTGAGACGTGACGTCATAAACGTGAGCCAAAGAAACGCTCTTCCTCTGTGGTGTCAGTGATGTGTTTCACACCACATGTGTATCTTCAAAAATATCTTTCACAGCTTTGCTGGGTCCACGGCCTGCAGGATGTTTTTCACAGTCGGCCTGTCCAGAGGGGTTTTAGACGGGTGAGACATGAGGACCTTCCCTGCTTCATCCAGCAAAAAGTCACCTCCCATCTGCACATTAAAGCACATAATTTTTTATAGTAGCAATAGGGATCGACAGAAATGTTTTTCCCCGGGCCGATCCCGATTATTAGTAACCAATTAGACCGATGACCGATCTGTGGAACCGATACATTTTCTGGAAAAAATCTTGTGTCAAAATTTAGAATAACACAAACTCCAACACAAGATTAAAGTTAATTGTCATGTTTAATCTTTATAAATAGTAAATTAATTGATTTAGAGATCCATCCCAGAGATAGACTTGTTAACTATGAGTGATAAATCATAATAAACTATTTATTAATACTATTTATTGGTTCTGTTCTTTATCTATACTCTTATTGGTTTTTCATTATGAAATAATTGCCTTTAAAAAACAGTAATCAAATTAAATATTTTATTATAACTAACTGTTTTCAGAGCAGCAGCAAAAGTAAAGTTTACAGCAGCAAAGTAACCAATATGAAATTATTATCTCCCTGGAAACAAATGGAACATCTGAAAAAGTAAACTATATTCCTGACATCAAAATACTGAGTGAAGTTTAGAAAGTTTCAGTCTTCCTCCTCTCTCTGCTGCTGTAGAGAGGAGCTGGTTTCTCTCAACAAGCAGCTGAGTTTGCAAGGATTTGCAAAATTTTAAGGCACGTAGCATCTCAGCTGAACAGGCTACAGATGGAGAGGTTTAGCTTGTTTATAACTAACTATTGGCCAAACTAGCACATGTGCTTGTGTAAAACCAAAACACAGCTGTGGTGGATGAGACAGAGCAGATTAAAATAGTGCTGTACACGTTCCTGCTTGTTGTACTGATGCAGTATCAGCATTTTACTTGTACTGCTGGTTCTGCTGCACTTACTTCCAGTAACGGGCGTAGCTATGGTCAACCTGTGTAATCAACACTCCCCTAGCTCCACTCCGCGTGTGTGTGCATGCAGAGCACTGCTGAGAGAGGAGGGGAGGTGGCTGCAGTGTGGTGGCTACTTCTGCACAATAGTCAGTGTTGTTAGGCTATTACTCATGACTTGTAACCAATCAGTTAGTACTGTGGGCGGGACACTGTACTCAACACTCTGTGGGCTCCAGCAGATGGAGAGAGGCGGCTGCATCAGAGCCAAAGGAGCACATTTTAATTAATTAATTATATCGGGTATCTGTTTTTAAAGTGAACGATGCAGATTATTGGAAAAATGCTGAATCTTGGCGCCGATAATCGCCTAATTAGCAATGAATCAAATGACTTAATGTCCCTTTTACATATGGAGAGGAGTGCTCTCACAGATCATTATTAGCAGACTCTGCAGCTGCACTGTTTGTTTTACAGCCTGAACACTTACTAAAGAAAAAATATATAAATATAAAATAGAAAAAAGGCAAATGTCTTGGACTTGTTGAGAATATAAAGACTGTCAAGACTTTTCATTCAAGTAAATGACTTGTCTACGAGATACATTTTTAACTACGTCAACTACAACAACTTAACAAGTCAGACTGTCAAAGTCCAGAAGATTTATTTTTAAATCAAAATAGGAAAATCTAATAGTGCTTTAAACTGTAACCAAGAACATCCTTCTATCTACAAACAAGACATAATAGGACTGATAACTGCGCTATCAAAAAAAAGTTATTAGATAAAATATTTAAGTTTAAGAGGAAGTCTTTGTTTGTCAAATCAGAATCAAGCAGGTGTGACCAACAGTCTTTTCTCTCAATTTGGAAAGGCAGGATTACAATGCACAGCACAGAGAACAAGAAGCCAATAAGGGATTCAGCAGCTAATTAAAAAGATTCCCCACGCAAGTGACCCTGCATTTCAGCACATTCTGTATTTCCTTGGTTTACTTGAGTGATTCAGGCAACTGCATCAGCACCTCCTCAATGTCATGTGGAAGTGTTTGCTGTGTCATTCATTTGTACCTGGTAGATATCTTCAGCAGGCGATGGGGGACGTCGGGGAAATCTCTTCCACAGCTCCGTACTCTGAGTACTGCAGTAAGCACCCGAACTTCATCACCTTGGCGTAGGACGAGCCGAGGCCAAAACTCCTGTAAATCTGTGTCAGAGAACAACGACATCGACTGTATCAGAAAAGTGAATTATTTCCTGCAGAAACACATTTGGGCAGTTTTATATAAATCAAAAGACACAAGAAAAAACAAAACATCCGCTTTGGATTCAGCAATAAAAAAGTATTTGCTGGTTGACCCAGTCAAGTTGTTCTCACACATCATGATTCATGATTGCTTCCGTGGCATGTGGAAAATTGTCTGTCTTCATATTTGGTTGATTGCCCTTGTTTCCATCTGACATCTGCTAACATCTGGTGGTTGACTTTTAAGAATGCTACAGCTGCTAAATCCTTTGGTTCCTTCAGCTTTTTTGTGCTGACTGATTCACAGCCATTTATCGTTTCCATAAATTACAGTTGCCTCACCGGCACTGAATATAAACATAAAGACATATAATACACAGATTTAATCTACTAAACCAAATCCTAGTTTTTTAATCTGTGTTCCGACCAAAGGAACTATTGCCCGGAACTAGGACCCTTTGGAGGATCTCACTGCGTTTCCACCCAAGGGACCAGGGTTAAAGTTCGTTCTAGGGTCTTTGTTTTACCCCCCTCCCTGCTCGGGGCGTAGTATTTTCTGAAAGTACCGGTACTTTGGTGGGGTGGGGCTTGCCTTGCAGTGAATTTCTGCATGGGCAAGAAAAGGCTACTAGCTTTAAATTGAGCATGTCGGCTGTTTCTCTACGACAGCTCCTCTCTTTTCCACTGTTGCTTGCAAACCAATAAACCACAATCAACAGTCAAATAGCCACACAAGTCTCACTGATGTCCGCCAGAGATCAAACATCGGTTATTAAAAGTGTTGCTCGGAAATAGCAGCCAGTGTGTAGCGGTGTGTTTACAGCGAAATACTGGGTCGAAGTTGTTTTAAGTTTTCAGTCGGTCTGCTCTTCAGAACAGATGATTACAGCAGGTAATAAAGCTCATTAAACATCACGCTACTCCGACGCTCAGGTGGACACAGACTTGAGTCTGGCCAGCTGATCTGCAGCTCTTGTTGGCTGGAAATGTTTTAATAACCTTTCAAACTGTCGAGATTTTATTTTTGTGTTTCTTTCTCTGTGCTGTCGTTATTGACATTATTATTGACCGAGTTATTTTAAGAACTTGAACTCCAGTGTGTTATTAAATTTGTAATGATCTTTATCGTGTCTCTTCATTTACTCCCACACAAAAAGCTGTTTTTCATGGTCAAGCATAGCCTATAGTTTTTCATTATATTCCAATCAAATCGGATGTCATTTATACATTTTGGCCATTGGATAGTGGTTACTAAATAATGATGCCTGTGCAACGCTTTGTACGCAGTATAGGCCTACGTCAGCTGGTTAATTTGCCTAATCTTCACAGGTCTTTAGATCATGGTGGAAAGCACACAACAATGGGCTGAAGGAACCTTTTAGTTCCTTGAAAAGAGATCCGGGGAAGTCCTTTTGGTTGAAACACAGCTTTAGAATCCCCTTAATGTCCTTATTATGTTATTCAAATTTACGGGGTTTCAATCAGTTGATTAGTGTGATAACACACATCCTGACCATTCTGTTTGGATCCAGCAGGATCTCGAATGTACATCTGGTCTGCTCCAGCCACAGCTGAGCTCCCTCCACACTGCCGAAAGAAACCACCAAGACCCGCACTGACCGAGCCTCCAGGACAGCCTACGGACAAACAAAATGAAAGAAATATAATATGAGCACTGATGAAAAGACACTAAGAATTCTCTTTTGCTTTTTAAGGATCATTATAATGACTTTTCCACATTTTTGTTCAACTGCCAGTAATTTATTTATATAAAAGTAAATGGGTGGTGGCTGCAAAGCTGAGTGAAGACAGTCACTTTGGAAAAAATGTTGAAAACCTTTGTAGCCAGAGCAGAGGAAAAAAAGATGTAGGAGTCCTTAGAATAGTTTTGGGAAATACGCTTCTTTGCAGAGAGTTAGATTATAAGATCAATATAGGGTTGCCGCCCCCAATGTGGAAAAATAAGGGACACCTTTCCTGTGGCCCCATGCCTCGGGGACACAAATTAAGTGGGTGGCCTGGGGGGAGTGTGAGACACTATTGACAAATGACCTGGTACACACAGAGACCACTATGGTGGATTTTTTTTACCGTCAAACTGATAATAATAACTCTTCTTGATGTAGGCATTAAAAAAAAGATCAACCTGCTCCAGAGTGATTATAAAATAATGGGGTTAGCTAACAACAATAACAATGGGGTTAGTTTAGTTTGTAACAATTAGCTGATCTTTTGTTTTCATTTGTGCATAAAATCCAGATCTAGAATCCAGAACTAACTAGTAACAATGGCTGTTAAATACATTTCATGGAGTAAAAAGTATAATATTTGCCCAGCTGCCCAAGTGCTTCACAGTATGGCATTAAATAAATAAATAAATAAAACCAAAACAACGTATTAAAGCTCGTACAGGCTACACGACTTTCAGCATCGGCTGATGGCCGTACTGTTCACACTAGACAACATGCCGTATTGTATGGGAGTCTTGAAATCGTTGTGGCGTTCACACTACCAGACTGATCGGTGACAGGGGGTCACACACTACACGAGCTGACAGCGGCTGTGTCACCCGACGCTGGTCTCCAAACCACGTTTTGTCAATGATGTGAACAGACAAGACAGCTGGTGTTTGTTTTTATAAAGACAGCAATTATAAAGACAGAATATGGTGAAAGAATGGATTAGCACACGCAGGTAGCAGGGATTGTCTGAGCTACAGAGAGAGCTGAGGGGAGTAAAAAGTGTCTTGCAGTGAAAAAGTAGCTGCCTGCTCTCATTGGCTGGATGTGGATGTCGAGTCGGCTGACTTTTCCAGATATTTGGCATGCTAGATATCTGGCAGACGTGGCGATGTGGCAGGTATTCCACAGCGTTGGAGCGCAGTAGCTAAAAGCAGTTTCCCCACTCTTTTGTTGGTTACTTTAGGAACAGTTAAAATCCCAGCATCAGAGCACTCTGAGTAGAGGTACAAAGAAGTATGAAGCAGCATTGAACGGAAATACTAAAAGTAAAGTACCTAAAATGTGTGCCTAAGAGCAGTTCTTTAGTAAACGCACTTGGTTTCCACCACTGCAAGAAAACCAAAGCTTTACCATGTTGCCTAGATAATAGTTGCTAAGCTCTGATTGGACAATTATTATATATAATTGTTAGAAACCTGAAGATGTACCAGTCGTGACAAGTAGGTCGGACACCTCTGATTTCAGGTATTATGCATTAAAGAGATGCATATTGCTTTTGTTAATCAACACAAAATGCAGTTTTGCCGAGCGATGCGATTAATTACCATCAGATTGAAAGTAAACTGACCTGACTGGCCTCCAGCTCGGCCACATGGTCTCGTCACGGTAGTCATCCAAAATGTCTGATGAGAACCAGCAGCAGCTTCTGACCCTGACTGAGGTACTGACCCAGAGTCACACTCCTTTAAAGACACAACATAGAAACAGCCTCAGAAGCCACGACACAACAAAACTTGATTTAATGAAATTTAACTGTTGCATGGTAAATCTGATCTTCTTACTGATGAGCAACCACATTGTGGTTTTTAATTAACCATGGAACACATTCCCATGCAAAGATGGTTCATAAATAACACACAACAAACATCAACTAAAACTAGCTGATAGTGTGAACAGTTTTCTGTCAGCTGCTCCTGGTCTTCTGTTAGACAGAGGCTGTCTCATACTGATGAAAGAGGTAGGAATGAAAACATACAAGGTCAAGTTGTGACCAGCAGTGTGTGAACCTACTTTCCACTCCGTCCATCAGTGAACGGAGTATCAGGGCTCAGGCTGTCTACCATCTTTCCTCCTGACAGCTGTCCATCTGTTGTCTGCAGAGCTTGGTCCACACTCTCCAGGAATGAGTCCCATTCACTCTGCACACACAGACGCACATGACGGTTGAAACTAAATGAATCAAGCCAACCACTATACTACTGTATAGTTTTACAATTTAGTAACAAAAATAAATGTGTCCACATGGATTCCTGCAATAAAATGAGGTGGAATGGTAGTGGTCTATTTGTCGGGGTGTAGCATTAAAATATTTGATAATACTGACATACAGCGGTAAAAATGGTTTAAAGATAAATGAAATACAAAAAGCAGTCAACCAACATATAATGTAAAAACAAGGATAAAACATATGTGATGGCTTTAATTATTTAGAAATAATTGATTATTTGGAAATGGTACACTGGTGTATAACAAAATGGCAAAAGCTAGACTAGATACAAGAGCACAAAGCAAGTGTTGATCAATTTTACCGCTGTATATCAGTTTTATCAAATATTTTAATGCCACACTCCGACAAATAGACCACTACCACCTCGTTTTATTGCAGGAATCCATGTGGACCCATTTATTTTTGTTACTTAATTGTAAAACTATACAGATAGTATGTAGTAGAGAATTTGCATTCTAAGAATAGGCAGAATAGACACGTGTGTTTTCTTATGCGTATCTATGAATCTGATTGTTTGCTGTGTGAAAACGCTTGAGATGAATTTTAATTATAATATACTAAATGAAAAACTAAATAAATTTCACACATACAGACCTCTAGCTGTAGAAGTTCCTCTACCTGCTCTCTCACTGCTGCATGGCTGGAAAACAAGCGTCAACATGAGCTTTCATTTCCATGAATAATTAATAAGACAGTGATCAACCACAGTAACCCTCTCCACTGCAGCGTGGAGAATACATCCGACACCCAATAACAGGTATGATAATGAGGGTTCACCTAAGTGTACGTTTTGTTTTTGGAGGCTATTGGACACTGATGGTGCCAAGTTATACGAGTGCATGAAAAATGTCCTCCACTTAATTTAATTATAGAAAACCTGTAGAAACCTGTAGTAAACACCTAAAAACCCCACCCATCAAAGACGTAGGTTTGCATATGGATGGAAGGGATGGTCATGGTGGGTATGTTAAACATCTGGATGTGTGTAATATACTCTACGACTGGGTGGAAGGACTATACTCAGTGATATATTTCACAGTGCGACATGTCCCTTCCAGTATTTTGGGGGGGACAGAATTGTCCCAACCAATATTGCTCACTCGTTTCACATTGTCTTTGAAGTGAAGTCATAAGATCATTAAGATGTGTCCTTCCAGAGGATACATCAAATTATTGTCAGAGATAAATGTCACTATTGCAGAACAATGGACATTGTTAAGAGAGAGTGTTGCAAGCCACAAAGAGCTGTTTCTAAGTGCCTCCCCCTGCATATTTTTTCCCTACTAATGTTGAGACCAAACTTGAAAATGTGTTTATTTTTTATTATCATCATTATTTTATGATTATATACCCATACTTACTGATAAGACTTCTGCCAAATGGCCTCTGCTTCACTCTTTGTCTTCACTCCAATGCTGCTCCACATTAACAAAACATTTAAATAAATTTTATTAAAATGATTTAAGCCAATAACACTGCCAAATGAATGTGTGATTCTGCAGGTGCTGAGAGCACCTCACCTTTTGTAGAAGTCCGTTCCAGCTGCGATCAGGCCGAATAAAGAGGTGATATTATATGGGACAAAGTTCTCAAGGGACCCTGTATGAGAACAAAGGTCAGGTTATTGGTCAGGCAGAGTTGCGCAATTTAATTGTGTTGGCAATAAGCATGAGGGGCATTTCATTACGCCATCATAATGCCAGAAGGGCCTTTTAATCCAGCAACTTGATCACACTGATCAACAACTCACCAGAAGCAGGTGTTGTATAGACATAAAAAAGGTTGTAGCCAACTTGTGGAATAGTCAAAATGAGACTTGTGAATTATAAATCATATTACATTGTAACCGCATTCACCATAACACCTAGCCTCACGAGAACGGTGAACAAAGTAATGTAGCTGCAGCTTTGATGTGTTTCAGATAGACATTTTATCATCGTATTATCGTAATGAAAACACGGACTTCCTTTAAATTCCCTGCATTTGTATGCTGTTTTGCTTATTGGGAAAATATAGAGGGTTTAAAACAAAACTAAACATTACATCCGGATTAATCTGATCGCCTTTCCAATTCGGCATTTTAATAATCTATTTAAGAACAATAATAAGAGTTATGCCTTGAATTATTAGTTCATGTGTTTTACAGTCTTCTCCCGTTCCAATACGTTAACGTTACGATTGGTAACTTACACAATATTAAAGCATACAATTAGGTACTAATTTTGTATGCCGAATAACTCATAAGATCAAAGCAATTCACTCCACATAATTTCTACATTAAACGTTATTTTCTACGTGGTGTTTGACGTTACTTGGTTGGCACGCAGGAAGTGCGTCCTTCTTCTATTTGTCCTACCTTCTTTTGCTTCCTGCTTGACTTTCTGCAGAATGCCTTTGCTCAAATTCACCAACTTAGTCAGAGCACTTGTTAAAGTCTCCTCTGATACAGCAACATCCTCTGCCATGATCAGCACTCCCTCACCTGCACCAACAACAACTGAAACTACCTTCTTCTTATAATTATTATTTCAGGGTTTTATTGGCGGTTGATGAACAACGAATCGGTGCATTATCGCCATCACCTGGTATGGAGTGTGGCTCAGCATGTCTAGTACTTTTATCTTTGATTAATTGATCGAGCTTTATTGATTGTAAATATAAAACTGGCGCCTCCAACAACAGATGCCCCAGCTACAGATGTACAATACTACTAATCCTTAGGGTAGACCAGGTATGGTTGTATCACTTTTTGCTTCACTCACTGAATTCTTTAGCTAAAGTTCTCAAATATTTATAAATCCTGTTCCCATCTATCTCTCTCCTGATGTAATTGGTGAGATAGAGTAGGCAAGTGTCAATGGAGTGGGATGTTCTGAAGCCTGATTGAAATGTACAGCATAAATCATTAGAGGAAATATATGTATTTATCTGCTCATAAATTATCTCCTCTATTACCTTAGATAGCGCACACAGGGTGGCCAATTATTTCCTGGATCTGGTTTACTTTCTTTTTTATAGAAAGGGATTACTCTCGCATGTTTAAATTCATTGGGAAACATTTCCAGTTAAATGGAAAGGTTCACTGTAAGCGTTACACAAGGGGTGATAGAATCCACAGCATCCCTAAGGAATCTGGCAGGACTATTATCCAAGCCAGTTGCTTTGGATGGGTGAAGTTACTCAAGTTTCTGTAACACTGCTTCCTCAGACACTGTTGTAAAAGAGAAAGCATTGGCCTGGACCCCTTGTTTTAAATACAAAATCTGAACTTGGTCTCTCCATAGTATCCTGACAGACCCGACAACTCATTAACCAAGGTTTTCACAACTGTTGTAAAATACATATTTAAACTGTCAGCTATCCTGGCCTTATCTGATGTAACCTTTCCTCCAACATTCAGGCTGAGATTGTATGTTTTGGTCTCGAGCCTATCACTATAAACTACTTGACTCAGTGACTTACGTAATATTTGAGGATTATTCCTATTCTTTAATATTTTGTCATTGTAGTATGCTTTTTTGGCCTCCCTATGTTTCTATTTATCTCATTTCTGAGTTTTTTGTACTCACTATAAATAAAGATTCATCTCTAGTTTTCCTATACTCTGAAAAAAGATCATTTCTTGTCATAATTGCCTTAAAAATATTGTTGTTCATCCATAGTTCAGTTCTAATCTTAATTCGCACCATCTTTTCTGAGGCAAGATGCCTTCTTTCTTCCTCACATTTCGAGCAGTGTAACATAAAATGCTCCGCTGTTTCTTCTTGGCCACAATAACTGCATCTGCCTGAATTGTGTTTACCTATTCCGAATAAGGATATAGTATTGTATTGTTTATTAATGTCTGTTTGTCTCATCTCACCTGCGTATTTCCCACTTTCCCACTTTGAACTCTGTAAAACCATTGTTCTTTCCTATTACTGAAGCTAACTGCAACATCAATGTACTGTACTTATTTTTTGTGGCTTCCTTTGCAATCTTATCATTTCTCCTGTGTAAACTGATTATTCATCATTGATCATTTTCCTTATTATGAGATGAAACTCTAAATGCTACTCGTATTCTATTTACTAAACTCTTTAATGCAAATTTGTAGATCTGGACGTACCAGTCAACATAGGGTGTGCCTTAGGCTGGCCACAATAAAAGGCAACTCGATAATGTGCAGTTCCATCACACAGCACAATGCCACAGAGGTCACAAGTTTTGAGGGAGCGTGCAATTGGCATGTTGACTGCAGGAATGACCACCAGAGCTGTTGAATTGAATCTTCATTTCTCTACCATAACCCGTCACCAAAGGCGTTTCAGAGAATTTGGCAGTACATCCAACCGGCCTCACAACCGCATACTATGTGTAACCACACCAGCCCAGGACCTCCACATCCGGCATCTTCACCTCCAAGATCGTCTGAGACCAGCCACCCGGACAGATGCTGCAACAATCGGTTTGCATAACCAAAGAATTTCTGCACAAACTGTCAGGAACCGTCTCAGGGAAGCTCATCTGCATGCTCGTCGTCCTCATCGGGGTCTCACCTGACTGCAGTTCTTCGCACAGCCATTGAAGAGGAGTGGACCAACATTCCACAGGCCACAATCAACAACCTGATCAACTATACGCGAAGGAGATGTGATGCACTGCGCGAGGCAAATGGTGGTCACACAAGATACTGTCTGGTTTCCGGGTCCCCCCAATACAGTGAAACTGCACATATTCAAGTGCCTTTTATTGAGGCCAGCCTGAGGGACACCTGTGCAATACCCATGCTGTCTGATCGGCATCTTGACATGCAACACCTGTGAGGTGGATGGATTACCCGTACGGAAACTGGAAAGAAGGTATTTCTGTATTCTGCACCTTCAGCATGGAATATGTTGCAAAATGACTTGAAACTCACTGAATTAATCCTGCTAAACGCATTTAAATCCAAAATGAAAGACTTAGAGGCAGATGCCTTAATATGCAAATGCTCTTAGATTGTAAAAATGATTTAAAATGACTTTATGAAATATTAGCTTACTGTTCTCCTGTGTTATTTGTCTGTAACTATGTGTTTGTATTTTTTTTACGTGCTTCTGCCTGTCTTGGCCAGGTCACCCTTGCAAAAGAGGTTCTTAATCTCAATGGGACTCTCCTGGTTAAATAAAGGTTAAATAAAATAAATAAAACATAAATTATCTCGGCAAAGGAGAAGTGTTCACTAACACAGATTTTGAGAGATTTGTGAACAATATTTGAGAGAAATAGGCCTTTTGTGCACATAGCGAAAGTCTTAGATCTTTGAGTTCAGCTCATGATGAATGGGGGCAAAAACATTTACATTTAGCTGACGCTTTTATCCAAAGCAACTTACAATTGCTATACATGTCCGAGGTTGCACGCCACTGGAGCAACTAGGGGTTAAGTGTCTTGCTCAGGGACACAATGGTGGATGTCTTACAGTGGGACTCAAACCCAGGTTTCCCACACCAAAGGCAAGCAGCTTATCTATGCGCCATCACGCCCCACAAAAACAAAAGTGTTGCGTTTATAATTTTGTTCAGTATATAAATCCACTGGTTATGGCCTTCAAAGCAGTTCTGTCTGCACCCGTAAATTACAGGACTGATGTGCTTGGCCTGTCATGGCAGTCAAATGTCTAATGAGAACCAAGGGGAGCTTCTATTGCTGATCAAGGTGTGTGAGACTCAAACTGTACTGTTATGTTAATACACAACACAGAAACGACAAAAAAACAAAGCACTGTTATTTCACAATGACATGAAGACTGAAGTCATTCTCACTAAATCTGATTATAAAATACCTTCTAGATTTTAGCAGTTGCAGAATATTATACTAAGTCTGAAGTCAAGAGGATCACATTGTATTAGATTTTATATAAATAAAGATATTTTTTTTATATGTGTATTATGTAACCATAGGTATGAATGGATTAAATGAAAGTACTAGTTGAAATGATTAGACGATCAAGTAAAAAAGCTTGTCTTGTCTGTATGGTAGCCTATGTCCTCCTGATAAAGAAAAATATGTGAAAAGTTAAGCATGCTCATAATACTTTTGAACAGCCAAACTTAATACTAGGTCAGCATAATATAACAAAAATTCAATTTAATAGGTTAAAATCTCACAATTTTAATTCAGTAAGTAAAAATGTTAATCCATCCATCGTCAACCGCTTATCCTGCGTACAGGGTCGCAGGGGGGCTGCAGCCAATCCCAGCTGACATTGGGCGCAAGGCAGGGTACACCCTGGACAGGTCGCCAGTCCATCGCAGGCATAGTTTTTCAAACTAGTACTAATCTACGGGTCTTGCAATTGCCCCTTGGGGATAAATAGTGTTTTGAAATTGAAATGTTTAACATGAGTCTTTTTTCTTTAATATAATTTTGACTTGGTAAGACAAAATGTTGACATAGTAGCTCATATGTCATATTTAGTAAGTCAAAATGTGGATGTAGCATCATAAAGTTAATTTACTAAGTGAAAATGCTGATTTACTCTCATAAATGTAAGTCATTACTGTTAATTTATACATCATAATTTTAATTTAATAGAAAATGCTGACTTAGTGTACTTTCACCTTAGCAAGTCAATTTTTTTCTTAGTGTGTTTATATATTACATGTCAAACTCATTACCAAATCTGCTACCACCTCAAAAACATCTCCAGACTTTGACCATCACTCTCAGACTCTGTGGCAGAGTCACTCATCCATGCCTTCATCACCTCCTGAGGGACTACTGTAATGGTGTCCTGTATGGGATACCCAGTAAGGCTACAATATGTCCAGAACTCGACTTGCATGGTTCTCACAGGGTTGTGGCAGCACATCACCCCAGTCCTCACTCAGCTTCACTGGCTCGCGGTCAAATTCCGCATTACCTACAAAATCCTACTCCTCACCTATAAATCTCTCCACGCCACTGCCCCACAGTATCTACGGGACCTTCTCCACCCCTACACCCCCTCACGGAACCTGCGGCCCACCGACAGGGGCCTGCTCTCTGTCCCCGACAACAGACTGCGGACTTTTGGGGACAGAGCCTTCAGCGTCGCAGCCCCCACCCTCTGGAACTCATCCCTACAGAGATCCGAAATGCTCCCTCTCTGCACACCTTCAAAAACCTTCTAAAAAACCACCTCTTTACAAAGGCATTTAACCCTAAATTACTTTTTTATTGTTCTGTCTCTGCAATTATGTGTAAAGCGTCCTTGAGTCTTGTGAAAGGCGCTATATAAATATAAGTTATTATTATTATTTAAAAAATTTAACTTTGCTCAAAACATTCAATAACTTAGTATCTCCTAAATTTAACTTTTAAGTGAAACTTAAAAGTTCATCTCATCATTTTGACTTCTGACATGCCATTTCCCAGTTGTGACTAAATAAGTCAATACAAGTCAATACTATTGTATCATTAACTAATTTTTCATTTAGTTTATTTCCTCATCTTAGCAGAAGTGGGCTTCTCTCGATTTCTCTGGAACGCTAAAAGGTTTTAAAAAACAAAAACAACAGAGCATGTTAAAATTGTCAACTAGTTTTATTGACTGCTGAACATTCATTTGATCAATAAAACATTCCCTTCAAGTGTTAAGCTTTAAGCCCACCATAGCACTTAATGACTGGGTTACCCAGTGCAAAAAAGAAAATGACACAAAGTATTAGATATGCTATTGAACAGATGAATTTGTTCTTACTTTGTAGAAATTATCTATTTAAATGACAAAATAAGGAAACCAGACATTCAATTAAGAACTACTGCAGCACTGAGACGACTTTCAGTGATGACACTTAAAGAGCTCTAATTCATTAAAGTTGCAATTAAAGAGAAGGAAAATCCTGAAATTCTTTCAAAAGACTGAATACTTTCAGATCATTCCAGGTGAATTACCTGCAGAGCTTGTGCTTAAACCAACATTGACGAGTCATTAAAAAACATATGCAGCAGTTGCAAACAAACTATAGCCTCAATATAATACACTGAAGTATTGTTTCATAAGGTTGCAGCATGTAAACATAACATTGCATTATCTTCCCTCGCAGGATTACCCTATTTGCCAGATTAAAACAATATCATCTCGAATTTTGAGAAACCAAAATTCAATCTTCCATCCTACAAGAGACCTGGAGAAATCCAATGAAAACATTTGGTCAAAATCCTACTTTTAAAACGAATCAACGTTCAACAACAGGGAACACCAAACACAAGTGATATTTCCTCAGACAAATATTTTCAAATTTACACCCAAATAAATGTATTTTGTCTCCATCTTATTTTATTCTGACCAGGTTTCTCCAGATCTGTGAGCGTGACAAGATAGAAATGTGGCTGTGCAACATTAACCTACTCAAATATGTAGGAACCAATAAAGAAAAATACAGAGTTATTTGATGGTTAAGACATTTGGAGGTATATGTGCCGTTTTCTCCCAAACTATTACTCTGATGTGTCTTCAAGAACAAGTAAATATAATCCATCAGATCATAAGAAACTCCAAAAAAATAAATGTGTGACACAGATGGCATCCAATGCAAGCCAAAGGAATGATGAAGAAAATGACAGTATGTGGTGTGCTTTTCCCCAATCTATTATTAATCACAACAGTCAGAGATGTCAGAGAACATCCAGGAGTCTCTATATCTCAGCTTCTATTTGAGTTGCTCAGGTTTCGATTTTTTTTCAATAAATATATGCGACAAATTAAATAAATTAACTTTAAAATGGAATTGCACTGTTTCACAGCTTTTTGAATCGCACTCTTCTATAATTACAAGGCTGGAAAAATGTTGCTCCCTTTTCTGTTTTCACAGATGTATGAGCCATGAATTCTACAGGAATATACTGCATTTTTTTATTTGCACAAAAAAACTGTTTTCATTTTTTTCCTTCCATTTCTCTGCTGTCAAGTTATAAATATCAAAAGTTGTAAAACAAATCTTTTCATCTCTACATGAGACAAAGTGTCATATAAAGCAACAAGTGGTTCTCTGTAAATTCTCTAAAATCTCTGACCGTTGCTCTCACATTTGTTCAGCAGCTAACCCATCTTTGTACCAACCTTTTATTGGTCACATTAAAAGAAAGTTCATCACTCGATTAGAGAAGTGACACTTTCTGCAAGTGTCAAGAAAACTAAATAAAAGAGACTGCTTCAAGTATCCCAAGTGGAATTCAATAGCCCTGAAGGTTTTTGTGTCATATTTTTAAAATCCCAGAACTCCTTCTCTGCTGATAGGCTGGACTGTGTGTGCTGCACACAGCAGTGGTTCAAAAATAAGTTTAAAGTGCCAATTACAATCTTAAATGTTATCAAAAAACTCTTTCAGATACCAGACAGCGTCCATCCCCAACAATTGTTAACGAATTAACGTCCACTTTAAAAGGTCATGGTAATCTAAAGCTAGTATTTAACAATGACTATGCAACATAAGATTGTTCATGCTGATGGTTCATGAGACAGACTTTGTGCTTTAGGTGTTTCAGCATGGGGCCTATGAAGCAGAGAAAAAGAGAGGGTGGACTGAATCCCTTCTGCATCCCAAACTATAACACTAATGTTCGATCTTCCACCCCCAAACAGCAAGATAGTGGAAATACTGGGACTGATTCAAGGTAGTATTTTCACAACTGCCAAAATGTCAGTATTTTTGTTGCCTAAACAAAACCCTGAAACAACTGAAAAAAACCCAGCCAGGATGTTGGCAGACCCCAGTTCATGTAAATGGTCGGATAAACTGGCAGCAGGACCCAAATATTGCCAAATATATATAATTTTAGCAAAGTCAAATTTGAGGTTTTGTGACAACATTGGCCTACAATGCATTTAAAAGTGGTGTAGTAACGCCAACTTTTTACAAAGGTTGTGTTAAGAGTCATGTGTGAGGGAGTATTTAAGGGAGGATGGCAGAGAACGGGGCTGGATTTGGAGAGGTGATTTGATACTAAAACAAGATTACTTGATGCTTTCTGCAAAGCAAATAATGGTCACCACTTCATAAAGGAATATTTTGAAGTAATATTTTGATTTTGCATCAATATCACCTCAGTTCTATCCAGGACCAAGAGGAAGAGAAACTCTCTGCTTCCCAAACGTGTCAAGTCTGCCTTAAAATTTAAACAATTACCATAAAAGCTGAGATGCCTATGGAGAACTCAGTCCAGTTTTTGTTTGGGCTGCAGAAGAAGACAATCCCTTAGTTCTGCCCAGTGTAGAAGCTTAATTATTAAGACATTATTAAAAACAGACTTGTCTCATGGTCGAAGTTGTGTTAGGACTTCTTTGGACAGTGTGAAGACGAGTCTGTGTTGAGAACTTCGATCATTGTTCTAGTTGACGGGAAGGTCTCCGCTACAGATGGAAGACTCTGGTACCAACTTGGCAAACTGTTGAGAAAGCAAAGTATTAAATATGATCCTCTGCCGAGACAAGGAATAACTAACAAAACAACAGGTTTAGTCTTCCTACCTCTTGAGAGTCATCCAGCTCTTTGCTGTTTTACTGAAGCTGTCTGGACTGGGTGTGGTCATAGCTTCAAAATCCACCAGCTGAAACAAGATTAAACAAACACAAACAAAGTTTAGTGGACACATTAAATACACCCCCCACCCTATTCATTGTTTTGTATATTTGACTGTGTACTGCCAGAAATTCAACTACCTTAGTTACCAGCAAAGTTTATTTTGGTCTAGGCGACAAAACAGCAACAGGGGGTTGTGGGTGTAAGCCAGCCGCCGTTGGGACGCCTCAGGACCCCACTTTCTAAATGTTTTCTAATTTTTGCTTTTTCTTGTGAAATACTGGAGTTTGTTTGCTTGTTTTGATCCCTTCATCACTTTTTAACATGAACAGTTTTTAATCTGTGTTATCTTGATTCATCCAAGTCAAAAGTTTTGTTTACTTGTTAAGATCCACAAATCCCCAGACAGTCTTTAGTCGAGCAAACAGACCATTATGAGGAAAGTCAACATGCTTCCAGTCTGAAAAAAGTTGACCTCAGCTTTCACAGACTTCAACTTTCTAACGCCTGATCAGATTTCTGAGTCTTGATTCTGTCCAATGTGATTTTGTTTCAGGAAAGAAATGTCTGCTTGGCAGATGCAACATATGTGAGAATTTCAGCCAAACTTGGAAAGTTCTTCTTAAAATGTCTATAAATGTGTTAGAAACAATACTTGGAGAAGCTTTGTATCCATCAATGGGGGCTGAAGGCAGGCTCTTATGTAATGTACATCTTTCATTTGGACAAAAACAAAAACAAAATATGAGTTACTTATCCTTACTGGTCTTTTAATATACTGTATTGTTTTACTCAGACACACAATAACCGTTTTCATACATGGAATACGTTTAAACATCACTGGCTGTATCAAGCTGTTAAAGTGATGGCTTTTTGTCATTCGGACATGCTGTAGGTGTATTTTACGTAAATGTTGCTTACAGTTTTATTCAGACATGACAGCACATTTATGGAAAGAGCCATGTGCTTATGCGACATTTGACAGCTGTTTGGCCGCTGGTGCCTGAGAGGAAGTGATGTCACAGCTGGAAAACAGCTGCGAGTTGGAAAGTTTCATGACAAAAAGTAGTAAGAGTGTTTTCTGTTGTTATGAGACATTAACATTAACTAATTATTACTGTGGTTGTACGCTTAAAAAAAGCATTACAGTGTTAATATCATCTCATCCACAGTGTTTTCTAGTTTATTAGACTGATTTTAATTTCTATGACCATGGGAGATGATACTTGAGAAATGTATTAGTGTTCAAGACCTGTCTTTAATATCTCTCTTTACGTTAATCTGAAGGCATTTAATTCCAATGCTGCGTTGAAAAAGTTTTGTACACACAGAAATGTTAATACATCTGACCCAGTAACGCAAGTGATTACGTAAAGAGGTGCACGTCTGAAAGGGGCTCAAGTTTACCTTTCCTTTTGGGATCCTACCGATGACCTCTTTCCCACTGGCCATCAGTGCCCCCATCACGACTGAGTAGGCCACCACACTGAGGAGAAGCAGATCAGGAAAACATTTGTATCATAAGTCCAGATAGAACTTGAACTGCTCTATAGCACATTAGAGGCAGAACATGCTATTCGCTGAACATAAATTAAGGCAGCGCATTTAGAGCGCTAAAACATGGATGGTGGCAGTTTCATCTCCAGAAACTTCGTGTGAAGGAGAGAAAGGTTTCCTCAATTAGTATTAAACATGTTTACACTTATACTTGACCTGAAATGTTTTTGTCAAAGGAGAACTGACATAAAATGTTAACTAAAATGACATCACAGAGGAACACACTACCTGGATCCCCTGGAGAGTGGCATGAGGTTGCAGAAGTAATAAATCAAGGAGAGGATCAGGTTACACACGGCATCACCATCCTGAAAGAACAATGGTCATCGGAGAGTCAACTGTCTACTCTGTTTATTGTCTTTGTATTGAACAGTGTGAGAAGGGTTGAAGACACGAAACCAGGAGTCAAAACACAAGAGGGATATTCATATTGTTTCAGATCAGAGCCAATACCTTTGTCTCAACATTGCTGAGTGCCATCATACCTCTCAGTATAAATCAAGTCACAATAACAGAAAGCTGAACAGGAGAAACTGAGTCAAGGTTGAACTTTCTTTCATGTTTTAATAAGGCCTATTTTTCTGAAAGGCCTCTACAGAAAACAGCTGGAAATTAGATCCTGCTAAATCCTGTAAAATGATCTATTTGTAAAATTATTGTGAAACTCTCCAGAGAAGTAATTATATTCCCAGCCTAGTTTAGTTTTGACTAGAAAACTGAAATCTGTGACATTACTACAGAGAGGAAGAGAAGAAAGTAGGGGAAATAAGAGGAGACAAGAGCAGAGGAGGGGATTTCAGTAGCAAATTGTGTTGACTCTTATAAAATGCTCAGGGGAAACTGCGGTAACTGCTGTGCTGATAGACGTCTTGAAATGACTGCATGAATACTTAAAGTGTGTTCAAACTGTTGACTGCTAAGCTCAGTGCACTATTATTCAGTTTTTTTGTCATTTTTCCCTCTGACGATTTCATGCTGCAATCACCCACTCCCCAGCACAATAATGTAATGCATCAGTTCACTCAAATTAAATGAAAAATATTAAAACGTGTACAATAAAACTGCCACTAACGATTATTTTCCAGATAAATCGATACATTGTTCTTAAAATGTCATAAAATATTGAAACATGGCCATGTCTTTTTCACAGAAACACAAGGTGACAACTTTAAATGTCTTGTTTTTTCTAACTAACAGTCCAAAACCCAAATATGATCAATTTACAGTCATTTAAAACAGAAAAAAACATCACGTCATCAGGAGGAACATGAGAATATTTGCCATTTTTGCTTGATAAAATACCTTAAAAGCTTATGATTATGAAAAATCCAGGTCTACAACCATCTATCACATCTCATTTGCAGAGGTTAAGAGATCTTCTCCACTGAGACTTCGGCCTCCACCGCAATACAACTGAGGTTTGTTTGTGCCTTTTAAAACATTGAAACAACATCTTGGTTATGCTGGATAATCCACAGACCCTGCTGCTAACTGTTCTCATTGTGAACTTTTTTTCTACTCAAGATTACATATAATCACAATTGCGTGCAAATTTAATGTTTCATGTCTATTCACAAATCGCTGTATTTAACATGCATCTGCTTTTTATTATGTATGGGACCGCGAAGCTTCCAGTTTACTCTAGAGATAAATCTTACCCCCAGTTCAGTGGACAGCATTAACGCCTTTCCTTTGGTGGTGAGGTCTTTGTAGATGGACTCTATCTCTGACTGGTACTGCTGCGTCCGCTCCTCTGTCGTCTGAGTCTCTACTGAGAATAACATGTTTCCCACCCTAAAATTCCAAAAACAGTTCAGAAGTGGGAATTAGTAGTCACTTAATCTTCATCACAGTCAAATAAACACCAGGGGCTCTATGGATAAACTGTCTAACTGTCATTAACTACTGGAATAATGAGATTTAAAATAAATTCTTCTAAATAGGTTGCATACCTATTAAGATTTACACATTTCAATGTCCTTCAGCTCTCCTGTAATTTGAGGCTTTTGATTAATCTTATACTGCACTGTAACGTATCCTATCCATATTTGTATTTTCTATTTAACTCTTTTTAATTGTATTAAATATCTTTTTATATTGCCTTATGTTGCTTCCACAATTTGCCTTGATGCCTTTTATGTTTTGTGTAAATGACTTTGAATTGCAGTGTTGTTGAAATGCGCTAAACAAATAAACTTGCCTCGCACTTTTTTTTTTTACCGTCTAGGAGCTGCTTGCATTTAATCTTTTTATTTTTATGTTCACATATTTATTTTTTTCTAACTTCATTCAAGCTTGGGGAAAAGTGTTATTTTATTCTTACATGTTATTCAAATGGAGACAGAATATCAGCTGTCGATTTTACCTGTAAATAATAACCCATGTTGGTATTGTTGCTGTTAAAAACATAGAGCTTGTCACCTTAAATAAACTGCAGAAAAAAGAGCAAAGGGCAGACTGATGTGATGGGGCCAACTCCGTACCTGTCTCCAGTGATAGTGATGGTAAAACCATCATACTCTTTCCCAGAATCCTTCATGCTTGGCACCTTGGAGTTGACCGTGAAGCCATCTCTGGTTTTACTGTTGAACTGCTTCAGGAAATAAAAACACAAACAACCATCCTGGATTTTCACTGCTGAAGAGCTATAACATATAAAACAACCAAAAAAAGAAAGAGATGCCGTGCTGCTTTAAAGGTCTCTTTCAATTAAACGTTTGACATTATAAACCAACTAAAAGGTCGATCATGATAGTTATTTTTTTAACATGGAAACAGCAGCGTACCCTTTTGTCCTTACCTTCATTATAGGAAGCAGATCTTCCACTTTATTCACATTTTCGAGAGCCTGGCGGACCTCTAAGAGTCCTCTGGGGTTGTATGCCCTGAGACAGAGAATAAGAACTTGTTAGTTAAAGAAGCAGCCAGAAGAATCTGATGAAGAAGAAAAGTGTTAATTTATATTTGAATGAACCACTTCCTCAACGCGCTTATGCAAAATGAATAAAGCCTAGAGGAAAGTGTATTAATTTACATAATCCTGCTTTGCAGGCAGCACACAGTAGAATATTAACATAACTGCTGTCAAATAATTTTAGGTGAGATATGCTGATGCTAGCCACAAATATGCAGCTCACTAAGTTAAGGCCAGCCTCATATGTGCTAGAATTTAGGGCAATTTGGAGTTCTTTGATTAAAGTTTTTCAATGAATGCATTGTGTTAGTGATGGAAAGAAAGGAAACAAATTAAAATATTTCAGCAACACAGGCAGTGATGAATAAGTGTTTTTAGGCCATAGATGATAGAAAGTGGATAAAGTTTTTGTGTAATTTACCCGTGGTACACCAGTATTCTGTCTTTGATGAAGTCAAGGATGTTGTCAAAGTAGGCCAGGTATCTGATGTTGATAATCTGTCCCCTAAGGCAAAAAGAAAGAAAAAAGGATTTCAGCATACTGTCAAGAAAAGCTGCTTTTGTATCTGAAGAAGTTCTTTCAGCAAGCTTGTCAGAACCAAAGCTATGGTGAAACTGGGTCATATGACAAGGAGTTTAAATAAATGCTTTTACACTACAAAGTTGAGAAAAACCTCAAGCACGGCCGCGTGGAAATACAATTGCTCAAGGGACTGCTGCGAGTGTCTGACACCGTCTTTGGGGCCAAGTTGTTACCTGATGAGATTGATGTGATTGTTAAAGCCTCGACTTAGACTCCTTGCGGGCATCTGGTCTAACCACAGAACTGGCTGGTCTGGATCTGCAATCCTATGAGCACAGGGGAAAGCATGTTTAGTCTGTCAACACTGTAATCCAATGAGCTAAAGACAAAAGATTCTTTGAAGGAACATGATGTGTGTGCTTTGGTCAGAAGGACAGGGCAACATTTACTTCAGTCTATGTCTGTATTTGGTTTATTTAATTTTATGCAGTAACAAAATTTTAATCTAGTTTAGAGAGTTTAGAGATTTTCATCACTTACTTCTCAGTTCTGTTTTTGTAACGTAACTTATGTGGTGCTCATACAGCAAATACCACATGAGGACATAGCTGAATATGAGCTCCAGTCTAGACTTTCATTTGTTATGCAAGAGTTTAAAAATGAATAACCCCTATCACATATCAACATCTGCCTTTTTCTTATTCCTTTGCACCCTTCTAATTATTTCCTGAAGATGATTAGGATTCCATACTTGCTTCTGAGCTGCATTTCATTTCTCTTGGAATATGATGGAAACATTTTTAGGTGTTTTGGTCATTGATCTAGCCAAACCAAACTTACAACCCTAAATCCAGTTTTTCAGTAAATTATGTCTACAGTCACTTTATAAATGTTCCTCACCTCCTCCATTTAACGGCTATGTCGAACATGTCTCTCCACTGCATTTGCCTGGTCTTGCCGTTGACTCGTACTTTCGAGTTGCTCCATGTTCGATGCATAGCCTGCATCACCTCCAGGGTTGCTAAACCCATGGCTGACAGAGTACAGACAACATGTATTTTTACTTCTATTTCTAATATTTGAATTATCCATACGCACTGCAGCATTTATCAGCGGTACCTCTGTGTATTCTCCTGTTAGGTAAGAAACCAGGAGTGTCGTATTGCATTAGCGCCCCCAGGTGGTCGGCTGTGCAGATCAGCGTCTGAACTTCACTGCTGTAGCTGTCAAAGTTCTGCGGCAGCACGTCCCTGCAGACCACAAATACAGGAAGACAGAGAGGATGAACTTCATCAAAGCTTTCATGTAGTGTGGAGTTTTTGTTTTCTCTGAATCGTACTGTGGGTACCTGTCAACCTTCTGAAACATCTTTGTAAAAGAGAAGAAACAAGCAGGTTTGCCTCAGCTCTGATGATGATAATGATGACACACTTGAGGTGAAGTTGGGACATATTACATTAACTGAAAATGTATGAATCTTATCTGTTAGATATCATTATATTAAAGCCCATTCTAGCCTACAGTGATGTTTGAACTCAGGGCAATACTTGCAGGGACTTAAGCAATGTATCTTTGCAACTTATGGTCAAAGTTGTTGATGCAGGAGTGAATCAGCTACAACAGACCCATCAAACCTACTTGATATGTGGCTGCAAGCCGGGCTGTTCTTCATAGTCTTCTATAAGAAAAGGCAGGTTCTTGGCCCAGTGATTCTTAAAGTTCCCTGGTAAGTCCTGGTCCACGTTGTACTCTGCTACCGGGATGTCAAGGTGGGAATGCAGGTAGCGAGAGTACTCTGGTAGAAAAACAAGGTGTTACAAAGAAGGGAGTGAACATTTTATATAAATACAAATAAAATGACCAGAAATTATTTAATTTAACTATTATAGTTATGTGAAATTTTAGCTTATCTGACCTTAAAAGAATGAAATGTACATAAAATAATGCATATTTAGCAATTTATTTTTGAAGTTGGGTTACTCCTTTTTTACAAACAGACTAAGACTAAATAAAACTCTTTTTTTCTAGTTTTTCCTAAATATATTGGATCATGATGACTTCAAAACTTTTTTAAATTTTGTGATTAAAAGTATTTTTCCTTTTCGACTTTGTAAAATCTGTTAATGTAGTTGGTGAGTTGCTGAATACAACTGCCCTTACAGACATAAACAGTTGATTGATCCTCTGAACAATTCTGGATGATTGGTGGTACATTAAACAAACATTTATCACATATATGCAGTTTAACAATAAACATTAACAAATTACTTATCCAGGATGCACATAATGTTAGTTGATAAAATCAAAATGTGAAAATGTGAAATTGAAATACATTTTTGTGTGATTCTCACTGAAAAGCCAATATCTATTATATGAAATAACACTAATTACAAGATCTATGGCTAAGCCTCACTGCTGCATCATTACCTAGAACATAATTAATACATTTAGAACTGCAAACAAACACCTGCAACAAAATGATCCACATCTGCCAGCCAGTGTAAACTAAGAATATTAAGTGATATAAAACTCTGGTGAAAGTCTCTCATAAATAAATTTGTTTGAACATCCTTTCAAAACAATTGACTAGTCATCACAGAAGCAATTTAATAGAGTGGGAGTATCTCAATAGTTTACACGATTGAGTACTGAAAAACATTTGAATGTGTGCATTAAGGTGTCTTAGTATGTGTTCATGTGTGTACCTCTGAGGTATTTCACTTTGAGGTATTCAGAGCTGGCCTTCTGTCCCAGCAGAGGGTCGTTCAACATGACTTTAGTCTGAGCTTTGATGCCCTCGTAGAACTGCCCCATCGCCACGTGACTCAACCCCTTCATGTACTGACACACCTCGTTGTAGGGCTCCAACTGAAGACACCTCTGGAGGTCAAACAGGAGGAGAGGAAAACGTGAGGAAAATTCAAAGGGATCAAAATCAGTTTAAGGTATCATACAGGACTACAATTTGTTTAACAAACCCAGGGTTTAAAAGCAATTTAAATCTCTGTTTGATGATCATTTGAGTATTAAGGCAAAAAAAGATATAAGATAGGATTGCATGAGATTATACAGCCTAACAGAGGAGCAGACACCATGCTATTTTATTCAGCTCTGGATTCAATCAGTTAGATTCCTCTACCTTGAAATTGCCTATGGCCTCCTGCAGAGAGCCGTGGTGGTACAGCATCATTCCTCGAAGCTGGAGAGACTGGATGTGGTTCTGGTTCAACATGAGGGCCTTCTGGAAGCTCTCCATTGCTGACTCAAAATCCCCCAGCTCCCTGGAAAGAGGAAGAAGAGATACCAAGAGAGCAACAGCGGGTGTGTTGTTAGTCATCCAGAGGTAAACGCTAGGACTCTCAATTCCTTAAATATAAAGGACAAACTATGTTTATCCATGGAGCACAAAACATGTAACCAGTGAATACTACAGACTTGATGTACCTGTAGGCCTGCCCAAGGCTCTTATAGGCATCTATGAAATCAGACTTCAGCTTAAGTGCTTCTTTGAATGTCTCAATGGCTTCCTGACGATGGAAAACACAACATCAACACAGAGTTAACAGGAAATTGCATTAGGGAACATGTGGATATACTCAAATTCTTACTCAGCAGAAGGTTCAGATAAATCCAGATTTTGTCAAGAAACTAAATTTCATAATCAAACATGGTTCAAGTGACCACTTCTGACAGGATTTTGTTTTTATGCTCACATTTGATATTATGTATGGGAAACTACATAGACAAGTTTGTGGTTGGTCCTGCAGATAAAGAATACTCCCTCTGAGCAGAGGTTTTGAAAAATCTAATTTGTTTGGCAAATGCAAAATGTTGGTATATTTCCATCTCTGCAGCTGATATCCTGGAGATACTGGAGTACTATAGAGATTCCAATTCTTGTTAATTACTTGCTATATGTATCACAACTTTATCCTAACTTTATCAGCTTTGATCTTGTACAGATTTTTTAATGTATTGTAATAAAACTGAACAGTGAATTAGGAGTCTTCAGAAATTCTAGCTGCAAAATTAAGATTTTTACCTGATGATGGTGCTTGATGAAAAGATGAAAACAATTCATCCCCTGGGGACCGTGAATGTGTTTCAAAATTCCACACCAATTCATCCAATAGTTGTTTAGATATTTAAAATAAAGAGACAAAAATATCCATCTCATGGTGGAGCTAGAGGAAAAGTCAAGGGATCCCTAAGTCATTAGGATATTTAATCCTGGAACCATAGATGCCTGTATAAAATTTGGTGCAAAAAAAAGAGTAAGCTTCCAGCGCCACTCGCAGTAACCTGCGCTGGAAGAAAAGTCAAAGGATCAGCGTTTACACTAGAATTTATCTTCTTGGGGCCTTTAATATCTAACAAATTTCATGGCAATCCATCCAATAAATGTCAAGATATTTCCCTAGTTCTCTAGTATTTTTTGAGGTATTTCAGTCGGGACTGACGGACAATCTTTATCAGAACATCAATAGAGCCATGCTGCTAGCATAGACAAAAAGCATCAAGACTTACCAAATAACTCTAAATGCAAACCTCTGCCTTGCACAAAAACTACACTTTTTTAATTATTTACATACTGCTTACTCTTTCCATACAGCCGTATAAAAAAATGTTTAGTGTAAATAAAATAAAAGTTGACTTTGGGATAAGCAGACAAAGTGCATACAGTTTTCACACGGTTTTCTTTCTCACAGAAAAGACTTTGCCTGAGTCGCAGTTTGTACTGATACAAAGCAGATTGTGCAATGTTGACTTTGTTTCCATGAACACTAGCTGCAGTAGATTACACTATCATGAAACTGCAGTTAAGGAAGGAATTAAAACCTTAAACTAATAAAAAAAATGGGGTGGAAGGTGGTTAAATCATGTGGGAACCACAACATGTTTCAGATGGTGTGCCTACAATACAGAATTTCTTCTCAACAGAGATAAAATATTTAAATCCTGGGCAAGGAAAGGATTTATAGCCTCTCTCATTTACACACAGGCGTCCACTGCAAAGTTTTCATCTCTGCACGACACACATGGCCTACAGCAGAATTACTTTTTCAGATACCTCCAAGTGCATTATTTTAATCAGAAGTGCAGACCTACAGACCTATCAACAGCAGAATCAGATTTTTATAAAATCCTGCCTTCAGTTCAACACCAAATGAGTCCCTATCTAGATTGTACAATGCTTTCTTTTATGATAATAAGCACTTTGTACGTGAGGAAAAGCAGGAAAGGGGCTTTCTGATGAGGCTTAGGCGGATATTTGCAGTTTTCAGTGGTCCTTTACCAATTTAATGGATTAGAGAAAACACAGCTGGAAAAATATTATAAGATATTTTAAGACACCACACCAGATAAAAATACATGAATACGAGTTTACGTTGGAGACTACGTGGCTCAACATAAGCAAATCCTTTCCAAATATTCTGGCACTGGAACAAACTGAGTTTATATTAGAATGCCATTCACAAAACATTAAGACTCAAATACCTGACTTGGTAACGTGGAGACACTTCATCTGGGCCATGTTTTGTTTTTGAAACAGGGAAGGGTTACAAAGCTGCTGTACACCCTTTTGGCAGAAAATCAATCAATAGAAAGTCCAGTACCACCTACGCTGGGTGATTGATATGGAATCATTTCAGAAATATTAAATGTAATACTGTTTTACAGATTATTCAGAGTGTTGTTTGAAGTTAACTGTCAGCTGCATGTGTGCGCTTTACAGGGATTCCCCCAGGAACTTGGTTGGCCAAGGGTTAGCAGAGGTGTTAAACGCAACCAAAAGCCCCACACACACACCTGACTGGATAAAACACAGCAATTGAAGGAGCTTTGCAGACTGTCACGCCTTGTAGAGGAAAGCCTGTAGATTTAACAGCTGCAGACACTCCCCTGCATGAATCTGACATAAATTTATCAAAGTGTGGCAAACACTGTGAATGTGTTGAAGAAAGCCTGAACCGAAACACCACAACAACATATTAAAAAACGTTAAGCAAGATTTTATGTAGCCTAGATGGTTTTATATTCTAAAAGGCAGAATATCAGCATCTAGAATTTTAACTTCCCTTGCAGTGCATGGAGCAATGATTAGATTTGAGTTGCTGCAGTGTATAAAAACGTATTTCTGATGAAAGGAATAACTGCCCAGACAGACATAGTCAGTCAATTATTTTCAGCACTCAGTAAACCCTCTGCTTTTGTCATCAGTTTGCTGACAACAAAAAGAAGACACAGGAAACTGTGGTGTGAAATACTGCAGCCTCTTCCTACTGAGAGGTCAGCTCATAAATGTGGTTCTCTCTCAAAACATGGCTCAAACTTAATAAATCAACCCAGACACAGAGAAAACTATTTTATCGACTTTGCAGCTGCTCACAGATGATTAAAACACAAAGACATTTGAAAATTGTAGTTAACTTTGCATAACCGTGAGCTTCAGTCTGGTCCATGACTTATTTGATGTTGCATATCTAATTTAAATTTTAAAATTAAAATTAAATTTTTTTTCTTGTGAGCTGGTCAACTCTATTGATGAGGAAGGTTTCAGGAAACTCACGATGACTTAAGCAGAATATTTATTGAAGCTTGGCCGCAGAGAATGGAAAGAGCAGCACAAAGTGAAGATCTCTTCCTGGTCCACCATATTTACCCCCCGCTGCCCATAAGGAGTCTACAATGTATCCCATACAAAGTTATTCTTTAGGTCTGAGACAAAGAAAACTATCTTTTGGTGGTTTTGGGCAATGGCTCTTTCATTCTACAGAGCAGTTGTCATGTGTCTAGAGAGCAGAATGAACTAGAGGTCATTTTGCTTCAAGGGGTCCTGTCTTGGTGTCATTGCTAGTTTCCAACTGACGCAGTTGTCATTTTCACGCCCAACGCCCACAATGTGTAAGTAGCAAATGTACTCGCACCCATCTGTGCACCCATGGGAGTCTTGGTCTTAAAATAAGGTGTGATCAGAAGCATTGTTGGCGCATTGCTATCTTGAGGTAGCAGAAAGCGAGTGTGCCATTCACCAACAAAAACCTGGTCTAAAATCAATGGGACAGATTTTGCTGCTATTTAAGGGGTGCTTTATTCAGATAGTAAGATGTGCCTGCACAAGCAGGTTCTAGGATGTGTAGGTCGCAGTTATATCCACGGATCGAGTGGGACGGGTCATAAAAACAAGAACATTCTGATTAATTGTGGGTGGGTGAAATAGGGTGAATCGTCTCCTCATTAAGAGAGACGCTGTGTGCATTTACACACGAGGCACGGCAGCATAACTTGACAGGCTGACAAGATCGGTCAGGATTTTATGTTAATTTATGTTTTGCATTCTTCTACACATACAAAAGATCACACACAGACTCCGTGTTCATACAGTGAGTAAAGCGGCTGTCCTCATGATCATTCTCCTTCAGAGTAGGGCTGGACGATATGGCCAAAAATGTTATCACGAAAAAAAGTTTCATATCTTTCGAAATCGATAATTATCACGATAAGTATCAAATCTTTATTTCTATTGAGTTTAAAGGCTGATTTTCGCTACCGAGGGAAAGAAGAAACCTGATGGTTAATTGTGGTTTAAACTCTTCTTTATGGTAAACACTTGATACCAAACAGTGGATCACTTCACAAATCTGAGGTAGAACATTCAAAACAATTATGATAAAATCTTTTTCAACACATATGCATAAGTAAAATTTAGTAAAAGCTTTTTTTCAGTCCTTTTTCCTCAACAAAATAACCATCTTAATAAATAATTAAGTCCTAATTCGTGTATGATTCAAGTGAATAAAATCAAACATTTATTGAATATTTATCGAACATTTGTTTTATTGTGATTGAAAAAAATTATATTGCGATAATTATTGTTATTGTTTTATTGTCCAACCCTACTTCAGCGCTGTCTAAAACTGATTTTGAGAACCTAAAAGTTTAATTATGTTACCTCAGTCTGTCCTGTCAAGTTTATACCAATTTCTAGCTTCGCTGTTTAATTGTCCCACTATATTTGCTGTGATATTACTGCACGCATTTAAACATTTAAAATTACTGACAACAGCCTCTCTAATCATCAAAGTTGAATCGTTAAAGAAAACACTCATACAATACAATATATAATGAAGAAATCACCTGCAAACTTGTGCTGCTCGACATAATTTCAACAGCAATAAAGACTAAAGGGGCCGGTAGAGGTGGAGAGAAATGTCCAATCAGAGAAACAAGTCGTTCGGGAGGATGATTTATGCGTACATGTCGATTCAGATCACGTCAGAGCCGATCCACGCATCACTCACGGGTTCACAAAGTGTGTACATCTGCTTAACAAACAGAGGCAGGGAAGCTGGCAGTCAGTCACAGCTGTGTTGCTGAGAAAAGGTCTGTCTATATAATGACGTCATACTAAATGGATGGATAACTTATATCTAGGCTCCTAGCTATTAAAAACAATTTACAACAATTTGAGAACCTTTTACACCTCAGCAGGCAGCAAACTTCAACTCCAACAGTCAACAACAGGCAACTAATGAACGAGAACTGCAAGGGTAAACCACAGAACTGTAGTTTTTTGTAGTAAAATGTAGCAGAAGTAGTAGTTGTCTTTTTTAATAATAAAAAAAATGATACAGCCAAATTGATGAAGAAGATGTTTGCTTAGAAAAATTAGACGCCAGTGAGCAACTTACCTTGAGCATGCCCCTGTGGAAGAAGGTGAGGCCTTTATACAACATGGCGATAGGCTGGTTCTTCTTAAGCTCTAAAGACTGCTGGAAGTCTTCCATAGCTGCCACATAGTCCTGGAGAAAAGGCAAAGCACAGGATCAGCACAGTATGGCAGCATGAAGGCATGCGTGTACACATGCACTTACAGAACATTTAAATATCAAACCTCTGAAATGAAGAGCAGTGTCCCTCTGTGTCTGTAGAGACGGGCTGAGGGCTGCAGCTGGATGGCTTTGGTCAGATCAGCCAGAGCCTCACTGATACGACCCAGAGGAGACAGGATCTGAAGATGCACACACGAAAACAAAAAGAAAAGATGATGCCCAAGCACGTAGTCAATAAAAAAACATCCATTTTCTTTGCTATTAAATTGGTTTGCCTACAGCAAAGGTACAGAAATGTTACATGTGATTCACTAGTTCTGGTTGATAGCCAATTGTACAGTATTTCCTCTTTGAGAGGGCGACCATTCTTCTACAGGAAAAGGTGGAGCAGGTATTTATAAAGTAAAGCTTGAAAACAACAGGCAGGATCTCGAAGAATAGGATTTAAGGAACACTCAAAATCTCATCTGATCATTAACTTGGCCTTTGACTTGCACATTGTTGTTAAATTTCTCTTATGCATTGTTCTTGATAGGTTTACAAAAATGTTATTACTTAACATACTAAACTACTCTAACATTCAACCTCAAGTCAGGATAAAGACAGGGTTGTCTGACTATTTTAGTGACTTGCATGTCAAACTGATCACACCTGAGAGGTATTAAGAGGGTACCAAAAGAGGAAACAGCCCATAAAAATGCCTCAGAGTGAAACATTTTTTAAAACTGACTGTGATTATTTGACCTCTTAGTGCTGCTGCAACAACTGACACGTTCCATTGGGTCTGAACATAATGGCACCTGCTGTACATTACTAGACAACAGAATATTTACAACTTTATAACAATATGTGCATTTTTCCGTTTACTCCTTCCTGTGCTCTTGTGCACGTGGTTAAATCAACTGATACTGGAAAAAATTTCACTACATGTTAAGTTTCTCACCCTCAACATCTCACACACTGTCTTGGACCATGTCTGCCACCTTCTCCTTTCCTTTCACACAACAACTTCTGATTGCATCAGAAATAGACTGCAAATCACATGTTATCAAGAAGCTGATGCCTGGATGATCTTAACATAAAATTGATGAGATATAGTGGTAATTAATCAAAAAACTGTAAAAAAACAAAACAACAACTGCTACCCGACTCTAAAAGATATCAACTGTTGCCAAGCATTATGGTCTTAAAGTGTCAAATCTCCTTTTAAAACATACTTTTGACACTATTGAATGGAGGAACTTCAGAGGTCAAACCACAACAAGCTACTTTTTCCCTTTCTGTAAAGAGTCAAGACTCACCTCTGCTCTCTGTTCGTACACCTCCGGCCAGTTAGGCTCGAGAGTGATGACTCGGTTTAGCTCGTACAATGCCAAGTCAGCATTCTTTATGTCCTTGTATGGAGACACAGAAAGGGGAGGCAGTTATATTTTGTTGACATAAACCTTAATATATAGTGACTAAAACTAGGAGCAGAGCCCCAAACCAACTAAAAACACAACAAACTGCTGTCCAGCCTTTTTTCTGGAGGCCACACAACACATGACTGCAGAGCCCTGGCAGATTAAATTTGCATTCTCTGAACGACACAATGAGTCATTCTGCGTTTACCTTAAACTGCTGCTGTAACCAAAATTCAGGATTCCTTTTATTTTGAGACAAATAAAATCAAAGGCAATCAAAGCTTGCACACATCTCCTTATGCTGCCAAATAGCAGTGTGGATTTCTGGAAAATGTATGGTATTGTTTTATTATTGGATACCAATAAACTAAGATTTGGAACAGACTCAACTTTTAATGCAGTCCATCAATACAGAGAACACAAACAGCAGTATGAGTCATCTGCTATGAATAATGTGAAGACCTTGACTACAGCTACAGCACAGTACAGAGGAGTGTGTTTTGCTGACACACACAAATAATCAAGTATCAACATTATCTCCCAACCAAACACATTTTACTTTAGAAAGAAGCGTTTGATAGCTTAGCCACAACTTAATTATTATGTTTATGACTTTAATGAATTAGCAGAAAGGCTGCTCATAGTTGGCAGATTGCAACTGTATTTTAATGCTGGGTAAGTAAGTACATAAATATTTCTATGTCACATTTCAAAGTTAAAGTTAAAGATGCTTCGTAAGTGCACAGAGATTACAGTGCCATAAAAACAAGAATTTCAGGGATAATATTTTAAATGGGCCAAACAGTGCTGTTGTTGTATTCCACTTATATCACTCACCTGCAGGCTTTTCTTCCCATAAGCTATCCCTCTTCCATATATGGCACTGACCAGCTCTGGGTCAACCTTTGTCAAAGACAAAACATGTCAGGGAATTGTTCATGGTGTGAACACAAAGAAAGGAAGTTGCGTTTTGAGCCTGGGATGTATGGAAACAAGGTGACAAATGAGCAAAGTGCTGCAATCCTAAAAGATGTACAGAGAGTAAATATCTGCTTCTCCAGTTGCAAACACACCTGTAGTAAGCGTGAGAAGTGTTTGATGGCTTCATCATAGAGACCATTGCCTATCAGAACGTAGCCTATAGCTGCAATGACAAAACAAATGATGATGAATAACTAGGAAAGCAAAATCATATAAATCTGTTCAGCTTTAATAAAGTGTATACTTACAACAACATGCCAACTTACCAAGTTCTTCATTTGTGTTGTGGTTATCAACAGGGAAGGGGATTTTTTTCTGTTCTATAAACAACTTGGCCTGGTTCTATGAGAGACATGAAAAAATAAAAAAACAGCACTTACATACAGGAAACTAAATAAAGGTTTCCTGTGTGAATGGAGGAGAAACACATCTTAAAAGCTACAAACATATGTTTTGCTATATAAAAAAGTATATTTAATATATATATGTAAAGCCAATAAAAAGAAAATATTGTCAAGGTTATTTTGGTAAGTTTCAAAAGGTGTTTAGCAAGGATCTCTCAAGGTTATACGGAGCAATTACCCCCACAGAACAGAGGGAAATACCTTTTAAATGCCAAGGATGCATACTACTGCCAAGCAAATTCTTGTGTAGCAATAAAAAAGGCTAGCTGTCTCTCCTTCTCAAAGTGTCACATAGTATTTACTGTGTAATCCCAAATTGTGAGCATGTTGTGAGCAAAGTGTCAGCAAGACATAATGTATGCACCATTACAGGATGTAAATTTGACTGCATGCCAATGTTGCTGTGGCAGCATTTTGGGTTTCCAAAACAGCACAGCAACTGACAAGACAAATATCAAAGACAGAACTGAGGAATGTGTATCAAACTAAAACACAAGCATAGCGTAATGTTTCATCCACACATTACAGCAAAACAAACATTAATCAACAAAAGGGGGGAATGTTAGCCAGGGTTTCTTAGTTGATTCAAAAATCAGAGCGTGGAGTGCATACAGTGCAGTGTTGTGCTATTTAGGTAAAAACAAGGTGTTCAGGCTTGACTAGAAAACCACACTTTTCTCTAAAGGAAACGGTTAAAGACTGTGGCTGATGAAGATGTGATTAATGTGTGTGCGCATTTGAGATCTCACCAAGATCTTCTCTGCGTTAAGTGAGAAGACAGACTCGCAGGACGGGTTGCTTCCCTCCTCACAGTCTGGATCTTCCAACTGTAAAATAGCGGACTCTGAAAAGAAAAATATTCTGAGCATTTATTACGGAAAGCTCTTAACTTAACAGTTAATATCTGTGTGTATTGCTGACCATCATATGCATGGGAGTACATTTTAAAACCAGTAGTCTTTCGTGTTACATTTCAAGAGTCTTATATTTCAATGAAAAAATGTCTCAGACGTCATGCTGACCCAACCCCACTCATAGTGGATTCCAAAACATCAAAGCATGCCTGCAATGCGTAGTTCTTCAGACCAAAAGGCAACTCGCTAAGGAGTAACTAAATAATTAAAATTTAAATCATGACAGCTTTTCATTGCACAGTTTGAGGATTAAAAAAACATTTTAATCATCCTTTGAAAGAACAAGACACATCTTGGCCATTTAAAGTTACATTTTCACAGGCCATACTAGTATTTTTGCAAGTTTTAGTCAATTTACTGCAAAACACATGTGTTTCGATAAACACTTTTCCCAAAATACCAAATGTTTGTGTAGTTTGTAGGTGTATTGTTCATGGTAAACCCTGCCATCATGGTAAAAACCTTGTCTCTTTTAGATGTTGCCAGAGTTTTGTTAATAATGTGTGGTAAAATGATATAAAGCATGGACAAATTTATGAAGTCTCCCCTGCATTACCACACAGAGAAAACATAACTTAGATAGTTTTAAAAGCTGACACGGTGTTCAGTTAGATGGATTTAAGTGAATTTGCTGATTGCCTAGGAGGTAAAAAACACACCTTTGATACACTTGGGCTGAAACATGCAAGACCACTGCTATACTATATTACCGGCATACAACATGCGAAATAAGTGAACTTTTAACTGTGTACATTGCACTAATTCTTATTGCTCATATTGTGAATACTTGCACATTCCCTGTCAAATATCCTGAATGTTGTTTTGCATTATTTTGTGTACTTGTACATTTCGGATCTCTTTACTTTTTCTATATTTATGTTAATGTTTACTGTTAAGCACCACTATACCAAGGCAAATTCCTCATATGTGAAAATGCACCTGACAATAAACCTGCTTGTGATGCTTTGAATTTTGTTTTACAAATCACCCAGAATATCTGTTCAGTTCAACAAAATAAGCCAAAGCAGAACTCATCTCAAAGAACGTCAACTTGTGCAACCAGTCCAGTGTTCTTACACTAAAATCCACTTTGAGGAAGTGTGTCCTGATATTTAAAATAGCTTGGTGCATAGGTTGTAGGCAGAATCCACCAGCAGCTCGTTGCCATCCGAAAAATGTTTCTGCATGTTATGCAGCGTTAAATATACATTGTTCTTGTTTAGCAAGGCAAACCTAAATAGCGCGGTTTTTGACAGGAGTTTGGTGTAAGCTAAAATATGCAGTTTGTAAGTGAGTTTTTCCACGAGTTTTAACTTATTAAGTTTCCTTACTGTAACGTTACACATCAAAATACTCTCACTCTTGCGCTACTAACGTACTCTTTTTCTTTATCTCCGGTTTCAAATCCTATTTAACCTCTACGGCAACAAGAGCAGGATTTCATGTTAGTTATCTCTTCTGGGCTTTCACCGCTTGTTGTTATCGTCTTAACGTTAGCTTACAAACGGTTAAGCTAACGTTAACCGCCAGGATGCATAACGTTAGTGACAGATGAACCGGGTAGGACGTGGCAAAGTAACAGCGAAAAGAGAGACTTTACCGCAGTCAGCCGCGTACTCTTCCCACTCGGACAGCGAGCTGCATCCCTGCTTGTGGAGCTCATTGTTGAACAAAGTGAGAGTGGATAAATACTCGGAAGAGAAGATCGCCTGACACAGATACAGTAATGAAAACGCCACCACAACAACATCCCGGCTGGCAGGGGCCATGTTGTGTTACATGTGTGACGCCAGAGAGCGGAAGCTGCTGCAAACCGAACCGTACTGACACGCCCCCCTCCCGCCCGAGGCGAAGGAGAAGACTGCAGCCGGAGAGGACGGTCGAACTACATTTCCCAACATGCTCTGCGGCTGCCAAACCTGTCCCTCCAGCGTAAAGCCAAAATAAACAAAACCGTTTTCCGTTATAACTTTCAAATTAAAACCAAACCACACAATTTTCAGTCTTCACTACTATTAGAGTTATCAAAGAATATCAAACTGCTCCCTTGGAAATCAAAGTTATATATGTCTTATTAATCTCTGGTGTTATAATGATAAGATACTGGAGTCCATCCTTTAACAACCTTTTCATTTACCACTAATAGAATTATATTACCTTAAAACTTCAATTAAAAGCCTAGTCCCTATTAGAGCCTGAAACAATGAGAAACAATGAGCACCAAAGTATTCCTTCAGATTAACTGGCATGGTAAAGGAATTGAAGGCCTGTCCTAATAGCAGGGTGAGTTAAAGACCACGCTATTAATTGAAGTTTTATGGTTAGTGGTTGAGGGAGTGTTGGGATCATTGTCATAAGCAAAAACAGTACCATGATGTAAAATACTGCATTAAAAGTCCTGCACTCACAATACAGTAATGTTTTTTAAGCTCAGTGTATTTGAATATATATACTTTAACAGTAGCGAGTAACAACAACTGTTAAATAAACATAATGGGGTAAAAAGTATAATATTTCGACCTGAATTGCAGAGAAGCAAAATTATGAAATATGCTTTGTTCTGTAGTGAAATAAAATAGTAATAAAGCTCCACAGTAAGAAATATATTGCATAGCAATTGAGAATCTCATAGCGTTCAGTCAGAGTAAGTAATTAATGCATAAAATCAATCTTAAAACATAAAACCTGAAATAATTTGCGTGTTGAGCGCATAGACTTTGTGGTTGAGCGTCAAACCTTCAGACTTTGACAAAGCTGCACTTATATTTTGAAAGCGGAACTGAGTGTAACCGTCTGACTTCCGCTTTGGTTGTTGCCTCGCATGCTAGCGGCTTTCGGAGAAGCAGTTCACAGGGCGAAGAATGGGGAAAGATGACTTTAGGTGTATTGAGTGTAACGAAAAAGCAGCTGAGTTACACAGGGATTACAGTAACGGGATCCTGAAGATAACTATATGTGTGCGTGAATTATTAACATCTTTGATCTGACTTGTTTGGTTTAACTGTCCGTGATGAACGCGCTAGCTTAACGTTACATCGTTTGCCTTGAAGTTAACGTTACATGTCTCTTTTCTTAAACGAAGTTAGTTTTGTAGCTATACATTACAAGTAATAGGTTAATAAAGCAAACAGAGAACATAAATATCCGCATTATTTCGACATTTTGTCATGTTGTCAGTGAGACACCTGTTTGTTGCCTCAGGACTGGTTCTGATGAAATGTGCCAACAGAGTTGAACTAACTTTGTACTGATAATGCTTTGCAAACAAACACACAACTTGGACAACATGCCCAAACGCTCGTCTGTTAAGTATTAGGACCATCTCTTAAATTAGCCTTAACAGCTAGAGTTGACTTTGCCTGTGTGTCTGTATCTCCAGGAGTCGTGCCAGAAACCAGTGGACAAGTACATTGAATATGACCCAGTTATCATCCTGATTGATGCCATTTTGTGCAAGACGCAGGCTTTCAGACACATTTTGTTCAACACAAGCTTGAATGTAAGTTCCCTCAACTATTTTACCTCCCTTGCACATGTGCTCAAACAATGTAAGGTCAATCTAAACTAGATATTATAACTAGTTATAATTCCAGCTATATTGTGTGTGGATGCGTGCATGTAGGGGCCTTTTGGTGCACACATAAGTACTAATAAGCACTCGCAGTAAATGAACATCTTATCTTTTCAGTTCAGTTGTGTAGCTCTGTTTTGCTACAGGATCACAGAGATTGCTTTCTTCATGCGTGGTTTAGTTCATACAGATGCTGTCATGTCTATGTGTGTTCAAGTATACTTACATTTCCTCCACCTCTGCAGATCCACTGGAAGCTTTGTGTGTTCTGCCTGCTGTGTGAGGCTTACCTCAGGTGGTCTCTGCTCCATGGCTCTGAGCAGAGCAGTGACCCTGCTGACATCATCAGGTACACCAAGGAATGGGAATTCTACGGCATGTTTGGATTAGCCTCCCTTGGTAAGATGATAAAACCAGAGATCCATCACCAATATTCTCATCATCGAGTCATCAGGAAGTTCAAAATATTGATGTTTCTTTAATTTAAATGATGCTGCCTGTCAAGGAAAAAACTTTTACACAGCTACATATGGAAGAGTGGTGTTTTGTTCACCCTAGCCTGATAATCAGATTCAATTACCATTTAGTTTCACTCATTGTAATATTTCTTTTAATCTACTTGAATTGCTGAACAAATCGGACCTGCAGGCAGCAGTTCAGATGTCTGAAACTGGGCTATGTTTACCTTGGAGGAGGGTTGTAGTTAATGACTATTCTTTTCAGTTTTGATGAATCAGTAATTTAGTCATTTAGTTAGTTAGTAAATTTCATAAAATAGTGTTTTTTTAAAAGCCCTTCACGAGTGCCCAAAGGGTTGTCTTTTAATCACTTGTTTTTACCAACCAACAGTCCAAGTCCCGGATATTTAATTTACAATAAAACAGAGAAAAGCAGCAAATCCTCACATTTGAGAAACTGGAACTAGACAATGATTGACTTTTTTGCTTCAAAAATAACTTAATCGATTTAAAAATTGTTGATTAATGCTTTGTCAGTCAACTAATCATTTCCCTGGAGTCGAGTGCCCTGGAGTACAAAGGACAAATCCCCTACATGTTGCTCTTGTTGGTATCACAGGGTTGACCTATTGAGTTTCATGAGTATCTAAAACCTTTTGTACTAAAAAGAAATTTACATTTGTTATTAAATACATATATCTGTGGATGACATGTCCGTCTTTTGGTCGTGTAGAGCTGTCAGCGTTCTTCGGCGGTGTGCTGTGCTTTCTTTGGGTGGTGGTGGGTCGTCTGCAGGGTGGGACCCTCGATCTCAGCCTGCTCATCAGAGCCCTGCTGCTCTCCTGCTACGGGAAGGTCCTCCTCATCCCTGCTGTCATCTGGGAACATGACTACTCCCCGGTGTGTCTGGGCCTCATCAAACTGTTTGTGCTCACCTCCAACTCGCAGGCTATCAGAGGTAGGAGAACACATGTGTTGATTCACCCTCATTACAAAAACAACATATTCTTTCAGTTACCTCTGTTGTGTTGCTTTTACATGCCAAGGTACCCACTTCTGAGATTTCTGACACCAATCTAAAACAGTAGACGTGAATAGAATTTATATTGCGCAGCTCACAACACAGAAACAATATTTAAAAAAAATAAAACAACTTTTCAAATATAGAGCGGGGCTAGACCGTACTCTTTGTAATATTATTTACAGAGACCCAACAATTCTTACCATGAGCACAACACAGCAACACTTTGGTGACAATGGCAAAGAGAAGACACAGCAGCACAATGCAAGTTCCACATAGAGGTGTAAAATAATAGTAATGGCAATAATACAGATATCAATAACAATGTCTCCTTTCCTCTGGATAATCCACAAACTCACTGTGAATAGGTGTCTTTGGAAGTACTTTCTACTGAGAAAATAGTCCCTATGAAAACTGTTGACAGTTAAGTACAGTAGATTAAACGGAGTGACACTGACATTGTTTCTGCAAACAAATGTTGCTTTTAAAAATCGCAGTGTCAATCTGTCTGTCGGAGTATTAGATGGATTGCCATGAAATTTATTTAAGATATTTATGTCTCCCACATGATAAACCCTGCTGATTTTGGCGACTTTTTCTCTCCACCATGAGTAGACTTTTTGTTTTTTATTGAAATTCCCTGAGAACTACTGGATGTTTTTACCACGTCTATTAAATAGCGTGCAGGCATTCATGTTTTCCAGAGGATGAACTGTAGAAACCTCCCCCTTCGTGTTCATCATTGAGTCAAAATTTCTGTTTAGCCAGTACGTTGGTGTGTGACACAATGCTATGCTAAACTAAGATAGTAAACTTTAAGACTTAGCATGTAGTTTAAATCACCATTGCCTCAGTGAGCTGCTAGCTTGACTGTGAACTCTTAGTCTTGTTTAAATATGAATTTAAAACCAAGATAGTAATTTAACTGAAATAGGATATTTTAAAGTAAACTAGTAATAGTTTTGGAAAGAGTAGACATGTGGTACCAATATTTAATAGGTTAAAGTTATTGTTTATTAGTGATGTCTTATATTAAGTATGAAAAATATTTAGATCTTTATGGAACATCTGATTTTATACACTGTTGTATAAAATCCTCCCACATCACATTGCAATTATTCCATCCATCCATCGTCAACTGCTTATCCTGCGTACAGGGTCGCGGGGTGCTGGAGTCAATCCCAGCTGACATCGGGCAAAAGGCGGGGTACAACCTGGACAGGTCGCCAGTCCATCGCAGGGCCACACATAAAGAAACAACCACTCACGCTCACACTCACACCTAAGGACAATTTTTAGGGTCACCAATTAACCTAGTCCGCATGTCTTTGGATGGTGGGAGGAAGCCGGAGCACCCGGAGAGAACCCACGCAGACACGGGGAGAACATGCAAATTCCACACAGAAAGGCCGGGGAAACCGGGGTTTGAACCCGCGACCTTCTACATTGCAATTATTTATTTATAATAATGTAGGATACTGAGTGACCAATAATGCTCAGATTTGTTTAAAATTTACATCTGTAAATAAAATAAAATTTCTAATACACCCAAAACTCAAAAATCACAAATTTAAGAGAGAAATAAGGAGTAATTTTAATAATTATTTTGTCCCAAAAGCTTATACCTTGTGAGACATCAGGAAGTACTGGTATTTTATTCTTCAACCAATATTTTAAAGCACCAGCAGGTGGCAACTAACTCTTTGTTTGAAAAAAAAATCCCTCCTGCTCCTGTGCTCCTGACTACAAAGAAAATAAATACATTACATAACAGAAAGGTTTTAGTTCACGTTTCTTGTGTTGTATAATTAGTTCTTCAGCAGCGGCTCTGGAAATATAAATGTGCTCATTGTATTTGACAGCTAGCCTGTGACCAGCAAATAATGAGATGTTGCTGAATGATTTATGGTCTGTTGCTCCTGATGAGGAGTTTCTGTATGTCATTTTAATTAAGATCAAATTACACTGTGTTTGATGCCAAGTGCAACAAAGTAATGAATAAAGTACTTTAACTGCTTTAATATCAAATTGTCACTTAATGTTGCACTTGTTATTACATTTATTGGTTAAAATGGGAACTTCTCAGAAGATGTGTTGAGACTTTTTTGGTTTGTATGATTCCAGAGTTTCCATGGAAAAAGTGTGTATTTATAATTTTCTCCTTTTCTCTCCCCTCCATCTCTTCTCCAGTGATCCTGAACAGCAGTAGACGTCTGTCATTGATGGCCGTGTGTTTGGGCCTGCTGTCAGAGACCTGCGTGGCTCAGGCCTGTAAAAAGCTTCCATGGAGCCTCCAGGACATGTTGACATTTGAATGAATGAGGAAAATTAAAGTTATCTCAGGGACGAAAAGTGATCATGGATGCCAACCCGTGCCACAGAGAGATTTTTTTTAATGAACCTTGTGCCACCTGAACTGAAATTCCTTTTATTTATTGTTTTGTTTTTTGTTTGCTGCTCATGCCAACCAGGCAGAGAGCAGAAGAAGAGAGTAGATAAATTTTTTCCATGTAATCTTTATAGAGAAAAAGATCCATCTTTATTGTGAAGGGATATCGAAGACGCGGCATTCCTCTTGTTTTTACTTTGGTTTTAAAGTTGAGCTCCCAAGTCAAGATTCCAGTTGAATTTGATTTGATGACTTTATAAAGACAGTCCCAGAGGGGAGCCACAGAATGGGAACGTCCCCTGATCTAAATGACTAAACTTGCTCTAACTCCCAAGGCCACTCTCTAAGAATGACACAAACACAATTTGCAATTACAATACAATGCAATTTTACAATAACTACTTCTCTGTTTGGACAGGCTCACATTCTTTGACTCATTGGTGAAATGTTTACCTTAAATCCACACACACACACAGAAACAGGGTAACTTGTCACAATAAATAAAGCAGACATAATTTACTTTCCTAGTATTTATGCAATGTTAAAGTTAGTGATAAAAAAGATAGAGGAGCTGCTAATGTTAAATGTCTGGTTTTACATTGTTCAATTAATTGTTTAGTCTATAAAATACCTTTTAGTTTCCCAGAGCCAAAGGTGATGTCTTCAAATTGCAAGGTTTGTCCAAGCAGCAGTCTAAATCCCAAAATATGTAATTAACAACGATATGAAACCGATAAAAACAGCAAATCCCCACATTTAAGAAGTTGTTTAATAACTGACAAACGATTATTTGATTACCAAATCATTTGCTGATTAATTTTCTGTCAGTCAACTAATAAAGCAGGGTCAGTCATTTTGTTGCAGATTTCATTGAATGTTAAGTAAAATCCACCAAATTACAGCAAGTATCTTTACAGTCACATTAACCATAATGAAACATGTTAACTAGCTGCAGCAGGTAAATGTTACAAAGCCACCATTTACTGACCCTGGAATGTACGCGTCTGTAAACGGAGCAATGTTCGATCAGTAAAACAAACTGTGACGCAGGCTAAGTGTCTGTGGAATGAGGGGAATTTATTCTTTGCACTTATCTGCAGTGAAAAGGGACAGACACTATCGGGGAGCCGTTGTTATGAACTGCTGCAGAGCCCGACACGTGACGAGAGGCGAGGCAGAACTCTTTCTGAACAAAACCTGTTTCAGCTGTGCTGGAGGACTCATCTGACCAGATCCAATGATATTCTGTGAAACAAGATCACAGATAATGTGATTCACATTCAGAACTTTGGGGGTTTTCAGAAAATCATCAATTTACCTTGAAATGAAGAGTCACACCTTGGTATATTTACCATAAACAAATGACCCGTGTCTCATCCATGCCCCTTCTTTGGTGTTTTCTTTGTCTTTATTGAAGAGATCTGCATTTCCCTCATTCCACCATCAGACGTTACCATAAGGTCTGAACCTTGCGTAAGAATAGCGCCTTCTATATGTTGTTTTGTAAAGCGGCACTTGCAAAATGTCCTCTGTGCTAAATTAACAAAAATACACTGTAAAATCCAGTGTTTTAGATGATTGTGTTAAGAGCAGTTATGTATGCAGATTTCTCAAAAATAGTAATATGTTAATGTTAAAACTATACATTGTGCTCATATTTAAATGAACTGAAGCTGCCATTTTATTCATAGATGAAAGGTTTTCTCAAAGCAAATCTGAACGATTGGCGTATTATTTGTACGTCTGTACTTTCTACTTTTGTTGCAAATGCTGATCTATCAGGGACTTATTCCTCTGTGATAGATAATGTGAAATGAACTTGTAGAGCGAGTTTGCAATGAGCTGCAGAGAAACACACTGCAGATAAATGCTGCAGCATGTGCACTCTGAACTTTGTTATATAAATGTGTGACGAGAAAATAAAATCTATGCGTTTTAATACAATTATTCTGATTTTGTGTGTGTGTGTGTGTGTGTATGCTGCCTCTGCACATGTTATGAATGCATGTTATTGCAGGCCTGTGAATAGTTGAGGAGACAGCACACGAATGTGGAATGTTTTGTTAGGTGTCCTCACCCTGGGTGGATCTGTGCTCCAGCCTCTGTGGAGAGTAACACAGTCTGGGTCTCTTTAAGTTTTAAATTTGGTCTAGTTTGGAGCTCAGAGACAACTTATGGTATACAAACACCCATGTGTAGTAGTTCTACTTATCATTTCTCAGTTAAATTGAGGGTTATGGAGATACCAAACTTTTAGAAGTCTGTTTTTAATTTCAATCTTACATTTCTTTAATTGATGCACAAACATGGAAATAAGCATCTGTCACTGTGTTATACCTGAAGAACTTGTTGACACACTGATTCTCCTGGACAAAATCTGCCTGAGGTAGTTTCTAAATGTGGAGTGTTCAGTCAATCAGTCACTTACTGTGGCATGCAGTGGTTTAATCTGAGTCTGACTAATCAGATTACCAGAACAGCAGTCACCAGGTCTGAACCAGTGTGTAAACCAAGCACCGGAGCTGGAGGGTAAATGCAACTTGAAGTCTTATTAACCCTGCTGGTACAATAAGATGCTATAAAACCCTTTATCTTTGCTGAAAATGTATCCGATTCTTGTTTATATTAAGGAGTTATTTTTACCTACTGAGTAGGCCTGAAGACTAGAGGTCATAGTTGATGTAACTTTTCATCAAATAATCCATCTTTGTCTCTCCCCAAATAAGAAACTTGACCAATGTAATGAATGAACATGCAAAACAACATTACAAGAGTTTTATTAATCGATGCTAGGAGCTCTGTTAGGCACAGCTGAGCTTTAAGCTAGCTTGTTAAATGCCGATAACATCATAACAAGCTCACAATGCTGGTGTTTCGAAGGTATGATGCTCATATCTACCATCTTCGCCATCTTAATTTACCATGCTAGCATTTACTAATTAGCACTAAACACAACAAACAGCTAGGGCTGATGGAAATGTCATTAGTTTTGCAGGTATTTGGTTGTAAACCAAATTAAGATTTAAATTAAGATAGTGCTAAAATCGAGGGATGAGCAAAGTTATTATTATTAGGGGAACAGAGATATCTGGACCCAATTTCATGGCCACCGAACCAATAGTTGCTGAGAGATTTCACTTAAAAGCACAAATCCTGAAGGGGAAAAGTCAGATGATCAACAAAGTCATCAGGATTCCTCATGTGGAGATATATATTTTAGTCTGGACCAGGGGCGGACTGGTACAATAATTCAGGCTGGGAATTTGACTCCATCTCAGGTTCACACAAATTTTTGTGGACTAACCCTATTTGTTGATGTAACGGGTACCAAAACAGGTGAAGTCTTTGCCACTATGTTCATCTACAGACATTTGGGACTGATCATTAAAGTAGCCTTTGTGACCACTGAGTTTTCAAGGCATGCTATGGTTATGGGTGCACCCTCAAAAAACTCACACATTTTAACAATTGAAGAGCTTTAATACCTCCTCTTCACTTTCATTCTCTCTTATAAACCACTTCCATACTTTGTCTTGTTCAATGAGAAATGTGAGCTCTAGCTTGTCCTGCCAGCTAGGATTGTATTTTCTGTTCCCTCATTTAAGATTTGAGTGGGTACGTTTGCTCAAATGATTTATTTATTCAAATAATGAAGTACTGATATACCAGGAAATGTGTTGCACACTAACCAGTGGTCGTTTGTCTAGAGACAGCACAAGACCTGAAACACAAATAGGTTTGTCATGAACTGGCTTCACTGGAATCAATGGAATGAAAACAAAAACAAAAAGGAAACATGATAATAATATAAAATACACACTCTGATCAATATTTTACAAGAATTAGCTACAAAAATCTGCAATTGGCGACTTCAATTTATGTGTTGTTGTGACAGACGAGCCTTCTGCTGGTCCCCACACACTCCAGCTCTGATGTGGCAATCTGTCCCATCCCTCCCTGTGGAGAGTGATGTGCACCTTGGATTTGCTCTCTCAATCAAGATTATGTTAATCTGCTCTAATCGCCTAACAGACGCTCAGACAGCACAAGACCAGAGCACAGAGCAGAGAGGGAACGACAACATGGGCTTAAAATGATGCATACTGCACAACTGTCAGTATAGAGGGTCTTTATGCAAAGAGAATATCAAAGCCCTTTTATAAAGCTTTTAATATTTGATTTCTGATATATACATTACGGCTATATTTTGACCTTTCATTTGACGTCAGATCTGATATGGTCCAGCTGCAGTGCAGATTGACTGATACTGTTCAATACTGTTCGTACTACACTGAATTTCAATGTAAAGCTTTAATGTCAATTTAAAGATCTAAATTCTGTTTTGGTTGCTCCCATGACAGAACAGTAAATAAATCCAAATTTAGAAACATTTAAACATGAATGAATATAGAGTTCTAAAAAGAAACACTGTCTTTAGACAGCTTCAATCAAAAACATACTGGTGGGCATTGTTGGAAACAAAAACCAACAGTACAGTAGAAAAAAACAGTTAACATAAGTCTGAAAAAGGGGAAATTTATTCTAAATATTCTCCAACAAATACTCAAATACAGGAGGTCCTTTAGTAAACGTTTTTTTGTATACTAAGTGTCTAAAAGGATTCATTATGCATGCAAAATGGCCTTGGTCAGTGTTAAATTATTATATAATAGACAATTGGATTATTGTTAGTGATGCAACATCTAAGCAGCATTTTTGTGGTGAAGCTAATTTGATCTATTTTATATAGTGGTGAGTGGTTTAATTTACTGTAAAACAGTACCTCATATTATATATGCTCTTCATGGGTTTGTTAAAGTTTTTTGTATAGCTCAGATAATTGAAGTGGAGTAAAATGCTCAGTGAAAAACATAGTTTATTGCCTTTATCAGTCATCTGTTACTGCCCAACGTAACATTGGTTTATTAAATTTTAAGAAACACCTTTCTGACTGTTGCAGAGTCTAAGATTTCAAAGCTGATTGTTGCAGAGGAAAAAATTCACAAAGCCATTATACCAAACCACAAGAAAACATGCTGCACATTTGGAGTTAAAATGTTGCATGACCCATTTCTGCAGTCTCACAGGGGAGGTATGAAAGAAATTTAAATAGAGTCTCGGAGTACGAAAATATAAACAGTGTTGTCATCATCTGTAATTCATCTCATGTGAAGCTGCTACATCAAAGCCATCACATCCCGCTGCAGTAATGATCAATTGAAGTGGAACTGCACCAGCTTGGCAGATGCTCGAGACCTAAATGCAGATTGGTGAATTTAAATGCAGGACAGAGTGAGATGCATTCAGGAAAAAGAAAGAAGTAGGGCAGCAGAGAGAACACGAAGACTGCAGTTTGGTCTGAGAGAGCTGTCTGGTAGAGTTTTTAAAACCACTGAATGAATTGCGATGAAATTTGATACAGACATTTACAGTATGTTCCCTTCAGGGTGAATTGTAATAACTTTGGTGATCCCTTAACTCTTCATCTGTACTTCTGCCTGTTACTCTATTTTATTTATACAAATAAAAAACATGAAATTCCCATCAGGCTTAGCTGTACATTGTGTTTAGCGCAAATTGGCAAATGTGAGCATGCTAAAATGCTAAACTAAGATGGTGAATAAGGTAAACATTTTACTTGCAGCTAGCTGATATTAGCATTTAGCAAAAGCACCAACTGTGCCTAAGAACAAGTAGCTGCTAACATGGCTACAAACATGAATTTGTATCCTTGACAGGTTGTATAAGGCTCTAAAAGAAGACCAACATGTGTTCTCTGTCTTTTGGACAGGGACAAATTTTCAGATGATTCAGGGCCCATTTAACCCCAAAATATTGGTCTAGCTAATTTCTATCAAGACTTCAGATTCTATTCTGCAAAGTGTGTTTCGTGCAGAAGAATTAAAAAAGCTCACTCCAAACTTGAGAAGTATGGAATCACTTTATTAAATTCATATCAGTATAACTATGATAGGATTTAGACTAATTGTCCAAAGAAACAGTAGTATGGTCATTCATGGATTAAAGAACGGGAGTAATGATGGATGGTAACAACATGGGGTTCACATGTTCTCTGAACAACTTTTGCTTATACAACACAAAATACATTAAAACATTTTTCCACTATAGTGATTTAATAAATGATTATGATGAATGATATACAGTATAAATATGAAGTCAGACATTTCACTTTCCAATTACATATTCAAACCAATTTTACAGCTGCAGCCAATAACTAGAAAAGGTGGATAACAATCACAATATGTAATAAGTAGATACTAATAATCGGCTGTACCTCTTAGACATTCTTGTGTTGTTCTCTGCTGATTCAGGTGCTGAAACATAGGTCTCAACACAGGTCAGCTAAAGGAGAATAACTTTTTTGTTTAAGTGAAAAAATTGTGTTTTTATGCATTTTGGAGCTTTTTGGAGAAGGACAAGCAAATGTTAAAAACAAAAAGTTTTAGGTGGATGAAACATGGCCATTTGACAGCTCATCTCGATATAAAGCAACATGTTTCATGAACACATCTCCCCCTCGGGCACTCTCTCATTAAATACCATCAATCTCTGATTATGCTATTTTGTGTACCCACTTCAACATCATTAAAGTAATACCCCTAACTTTAGTCAAACCACATGAAATCTGTGTGGTTGCATTGCATTCAGTCCTATGTAGGCCACTTTTAAGTAGAAAAATTGGTCTTTCAGTCCTTTTCTAACAACTGATTTCTTCATGTGATTGTTCAAAGTTGGTGCAAAATGGCGGCTTTAGAAAGAAGCCCTTGCTGTTTGATTCAGAGAGACCACAACACGACATTTACAATTTACATAGAAATACACTGTAGTTGCTGTAAGTATGTGGGCGAGGCATCACACATTGTGTACATTTGGCCAGTTATTCACGTGACTGGAAAACACACCACCAAATAACAACGTGCGTCATGTTACAATCATGTTCAAACATTTTAAGAATTTTGTGTCCCTCCAGGGTGAAGACATGCTGATCATTTCTGAGCAGAGGTTTACCCTGACATCACCACATTACACATCCGATAATCACATGAAAAATGGGGGTTGTAAAAGTCACAGGGAATCACACACTATTCAAGTGCAAACAATACAATATTGGGCACACTTTTGCTGGTGATCAATTTAAAGCTCCTTTCTGACTCTCTTGTGCTGGATTTAGTTACAGTAGAGTTACTGTACAAGGAGCACCGTGTGCCTGCGTAATAAAGACCAACTCAAAGAGGATCAGGTAGTTGCAGTTTTGCAGGATTTAACACAGAACGACCACAAGCAAGTGCAAAATTATAGCTGAACACTTTGTGTGTTTGAACAAGTGAGGAGTGCACCTTATTTTGCAAATGACATGACTGATTTTAAGGCTGCTACAAGTTTTGGAGGTTAAAGCTGCTACATGTAGAAGATTAAAATAAATGTTGACAGAATAAATGTTGTGGGAAACTGAAGCCATGCACGAGTTTATTCTACGTATATGATGAGGTCAACAAGCTTGACCTCATCAACCAGGACAGGATGGGAACTGCCTCACTTTGTTTGAGACGTGTGTGAAGAAACTCAAATTTCAGAGGAAGGAAGCATCAAAACTCCTAACAGCTGCATCCTCAACAATAAAATGAAAAAAGGAGCCTTTGATGGAGGAGTAAAAAAAGTAAACAATAAACGGCCATTAAGGGATTTAGGAAGTTGCAAAAGTCATCAAGTTTTTAGTTCTACCCGTAGCAGCTTTAAGAACGAAGTGCACGTCAAGCGAGTCAGTTTATGGTATATTCTCATCCCCATCTTGAACAGCAAGCTGCAGGTCTGAAACCTGCAGGTTTACAAAGGCACTAATTGTATAGACATCCAATAAAACGTATGGGGTCAAGATTTTACTCAAATGTTTTAAACTGTATAAGTTATATTTTTTGATCGAATGCGCTTTGATTAGATTCAGATTAGCGATAGGTTGCGGCGATCCAACAGGTGTTTTTAACAGATTAGTAATAAATAACAGAGAGCAAACATTCACAACGTTTTAGGCTTCTGGTTGTAGTTAGAAACTTGCATTATGGATATTAACGGGACAAGTTTTCAGATTTAAAAGTGAGTATGCAGTGGTGTGTTATGATTCCCAGAGGTGCTTTTGAGAGGAAGAAAATCCTGTTCAGTTAATTATAGCTGTAAAAAGGAAGAAAACCCTTGAAATGTAAGTTTTTGATAGAAATGATCAAACCGTTAAAAGGAATAGTTTCAACATTTTACACTTATTTGCTTTCTTCTCTTGCACAACCATGGTAGTGGTTTCCCCCTCTTTTCAGTCTTTATACTAAGCTAAGCTAACTGGCTGCCAGCGGTAGCTTCATATTTAAATAGATCTTCTCATCTAACTCTTGGCAAGAGTTGGTAAGTCCTTAAAATGTCCAACCATTCCTTTATGTTATATTGTGGTAATATCTGTATGAAATTCAGTTTTTACACAGTTACTGATTTTCTGGTAACTCCGTTCATCAGCTTCACTTGTAAAGACATTCTTCAAGACATAAGTTGTCATTTTGTATTGTAACCAATCAGGAGCAGTTAGATAAGAAACTGTCTTCTTCTTCAGCACCATTTCAGTTTGACTACTGTACTTTCTTTGGTTTGTGTTCCACAAGCACACAAATAGCGGACCAGACTACAAACAGATGACGTCATAAGATGAATGCAGACACATTATTAACACGCTACTGAAACTTTCCACACCTTGTTGACAGAGTAAAGTCATTTTGTAGTGAGAGTGATAAAACAGCTGCTGTGTATTGAGCTGTGTCGTTGCATGCTATGGGTTCAGCTAAGACCTTTGCTGTAGAGCTTAGATATTAAAGAAGACTGACCACTGCCATGTGTAGCACAAGTATTAATATTCGCACATCCAAACATCTTCGCCTGCTACAGGACAACAGCAAAAAACCATCCTTAGTGTAGAATAAGGCTGAGTTTGTGGAGCAGAGATTCACTAGGAGAGCATCTCACTGTATTAGAAGTGTTTATCCTATTTTGTTCACAACCATACAATAAAGGCAAGCTCTTTTGAATTAAAAACAATCTTGTTAGTGACCAGTACTGCCACATGATCTACTTCAGTTTTAGGATGAGGCTCAGATGGTTAAACAGCCTCCATACGGTTTATAGAAACACTTTAATATTATGCATTACATCCCTCTAACATGTTTTAGATAATGCTCAAGCTGAGTCTGTATAGTAACTCCAGCTGCATGTGTAGATCGGATAGGATCAGTTAAGATTTTTTAGGTGACAAAGTACCAAAACTGAACCAACTCACTGACCATTACAAGCCAGATTTACATACTTTCATTTCTCCATCAATGTCACTGTGATTAATTAACATTTTTTCTAACCAGCGAGTGCAAATTACGTGAGAAGTTGGTTTCTCAATTTATTTGATATGAGAATATTAAGAATATAAGTCTCAAAGCTGGTTATGGGGAAAATGGCTGATCCCATTAAGCATTTGCTACCTGGCTATGTTAAAGGATAATTGTCATTAATTAGAACTTGAGTTATTTTCATAGTTTTTCATATTAAATCAGTAAGGATAATATTGCTCAGGTTAATGCCCTATCTGACTTCTTTTTAGCACTGTTGTTCCCTGATTTCAGTAATTAACTTTATGACCACAAACGTCTTATTGATAGGAATGGTCATAACTATGGAAACAAGATTGATCGATCATGAAAGGGATTAACACAGCAGTATAATGCATCATTTGCCAGATCAAACCCATCTGGACCTTTTACACCACCCAGTCAGAAAACAGTTGACACATCAAAGTTGCTTGTAATGCACGCAAGCACCAACAGCTTTGAAGGTTCATGGAAGCACACAATCTGCAGCTTAGTGCACTGGGCTTCCAGGTTTTGCACCTATGCAAACCTGTTTCCAGCATTTTGAATATTTCACATTTTCTTTTTTTTTTTTTAAAGGCAAAAAAGTGTAGCCCTCACTCCTGTACCAAAACTCAGTCAAGTTTTCAAGCTTTTTTTCACCGTGAACAGGTTTGAGGACTTCACCTCTTTGTGCATTCTTGTGGTCTGACAACTTCTGAAATTTTGCAAATGTATGATTTCACCACTTAAAAAGCAACACACACTCTCCATCAGCTAGTTCACAGTCGACCATCTCTTTGAACAACGATTGCAGAGTTCAGAAGTCCCATCCTATGTGTTCACTTTTGAAGTCCCAATTGCCAACCTGTAAATGCTGTACCCTTGTATCTGGGTAGAGTTGCAGTACAAAACGTCCGTACAGTGTAAGGAAAGCAAACATCTCGTTATTTATATTATTTAATAAATAATACAACTTTGTTCATATATATTGTATATGTAAAAAAGTTCTGCCAAAAAGGGTGACTGGCTAAAAAAACCACTTGATATTGAAGCAGCAGCTGTTTATAGAAGGAAATATATATGGCCTAATTTTGAGTATATGGAGTCTGGGAATACAATCCATCTCAACTCCTGAGTTTGAGAGGGTGAGAGGGTGTTAACAAACCACACATCCTAACACACGGCGTCTCAGCTCCGCAGTCTGAAGAAGCTCCTGGTCACGCTGCAAAAAAACCTTCTGCAGCATAAGCAGGGGTGTGTTTCACCTGAGGAGGAGCCGAAGTCTGTTATGTCTATAGTCTGTTATGGTAACCAGATACCATAAGCTGCTATCTCTAACTGGCCAGTTCCCAAAAGGTTTCCAGATCTACTCAACTTTTCCTCCTGTTTAACTCAGTCGCCCCAAAATAAGTATCCATCTGCAGAAAAATGCTGAGAATGAGGCCTCAGATGGTAACGTGAAAGGAGTCCCAGCTGTCGTCTTTGCCGCTGCTGCTCCCATTCTTGGCCATTGTTGCCGTCCCGTCTCCAACCTCTCCATCTGGCTGTTCCCCGGTGGGAGTGGCGCCAGGCTCTGGGTAATACTCGTCATCTTCGTCGAAGTAGCCGTTCTCCATCATGCTGAGGCTGGAGGCGGCGCTCAGGTCCTGGCAGCTGCCCTTGTACTCCTGGATCGACTCATGGAGCGACCACAGCTGGCACAGCAGGGACATATCCTGCTGACGCAAACCCACCTGGAGAAGGCAGTATTAACATCCTAATTAATACATGACACACTTGTGATGAAGTCATTCACCTATTTTAAAGGCTTTCACTTTGTTGATTTTAGGATACACAGTGTTTTAACTTTTAGGTCCACAAGGCAGAATGCAAACTTGTTCACTAGGTCTAAGACAAACTGCAGAAATCAACTGTATACACAAGCATGACTCCTATCAACCAAAAATTCCTGAGCCAAACATAAAATCTGCTTTTCCTCTTTAATAAATAATCTGTGCTTGGTACTCTAGAGACAGCCCCAGCCAGACAACTAGAGCTGCAACTAACGATTATTTTTCATTATTTTGTCCAACCACCAGCTTTACAGACAACTATAGTGCAAATAACATTAATAAGTGAACAGCAATGCTAAATCAATTAGTCGATAATCAAAATAAATTATTAACTGTTTCAGCCTCCAAAATTTGAGGATTTACTGCACCCTTAGATTGTTGGTTGGACAAAAAAAGACATTTACAATTTGTCATTTTATAAATGATTTATTTCAAAATTATTAATTAATCTAAAAATATAATCAACTGAACAAATAAGTAGTCAAAATATTTTTTAGTTGTACTGCTACCTGACATTATGGTTTTACTATCTGAAGGCTTAAACGGTTGTAAAGAGCATTTCTACTGCACACCACTGAGCTGACAGTGCAGTATGAACCGAGGGTCACTGCATTGTCTTTCAAACAAATTGCAGTGGGCAGACATGCAAGTCATAGTGAAATAGCTGAATTTGAGCACTGTGCTCCATCGACTCTGGAGCGGCTTACGGATTCAAAAATGTGGGACACTGACAAGGTATTAGACAATGTGAACTACAAACTCATAGTAACACACATTAACAACAACAAATCAATAAGCTTCCAGTTGGGAACGTGCTGCAGGGAGAGTAAAGCACATGAAGCAGAAATAGGATTTAGTAAAGCCTGGAACAAAAATCCAAATGGCAGAGGGAGTAGAGGAACAGTTTAACCTTTTCATTTAAATGAAGGGATGTGAGGAAATGGCCTATTGTTATAGATTAACCAAGAGCCATGGAGGAGTCAACCCTAATAATGAAATCTGGTCTGGTTATGTTATGAAAACCTTTGCTGCTGGCAAGGGAGTGTAATAAGTGTGTCACTCAGTTTAGACATCAATAAATGTATAATACCAGGTATTGTTTCACTACAGGGTTTTTATGCTACCTTGTGTCATAAAAAACAAAACGTTTATATTAAAAATATAAATGCATTAAATTGAGCTTAGAATAAAAAGCAGCATAAACCTAATGGCTTAATGCCTCTCATCTAAAGCAAAGCTGCTCCTGATCCTGTTTTCTCTTGTATAAGGTTAAAGCCAGACTCCATTTTTAAAACATCTTTTCACGTTTCCAATCGACTTTATATACTGGGTAGCAAATAAAGTGATACACGCTGGGAATTGACATGGTCTTTTCATAACCTCGGCAAACAAATAACTATAATTCACTAAATAGAAGTGATAATAATGCTCGATATTTTAGGCTTGTTCGATAAAGTTAATAACAAAGTGGGCTACTGCAAAAAAGAGCTAAATTCATTCCTTAAATTCTATGTTTTATTTACTAACCTGGTGTTTGGTAAATGGTATATATGCCGAATTTACCAGGGGACTCAAATTGTTTGTAAAAAGCCTTAACCTGAATCCCAAGTGGCAAAAGTTTTCCATAAAAAGACAAGGCAGCACCAAACTACCAGTTTCTTTAGGGAGTTTGGCTGAATACGAATGTCCAGCGTGTTGGGATTAAACAGCGTTCCATTAACCAGGGGTGGAAAACGACTTTCTTGTCGTCAAATAAAATGAACAGTCCCTGAAATGTTACCATCTCTTTCCGCAGAAGAGCCAGAGCAGCGTCCAGGTTGGCCGGCTTGTTCGCCATTAGGTTGTCGGCGTTGTTCCTGCCTCGGCTCAGGTCGTCCTGGATCATGGTTTTCTTTACGTACATCCTCTCCATGTCTCTCCAGGAGCCGCCGCTGGAGTTCAGCAAGCCGCTCAGGCTCTTCGGCAGCGGGGGCAGACCCTCGATACAGGCCATTCCTCCCAGCGAACCGTTCGTTGACTTACCATTCATTGTCCTGTTGAGTTACTACGCGAAGAAATGTTAGTGTTTACACTGACGTTGACTGTTCAGTCCTTAAAAATCAACAACCGGCCGTCTCCCGAACCAAACACACCGAGCAACACCCGTAGTTTTCTCTGCCCAGGGCGGAGAGCGACGCCACGTCAAGTTAAACGGAATGAAAGCCATTGCATTTCCGGTATTGTGTTCAAAAATAAAAGCATCACTGATGAATATTTTAGTGGACTATTTTCCCTCTAAGTGTAAAATAAAAGTTAATTTAAAACATAATCTGTGGGTCCTGAAAGCATTTTTTCCATTTCACAATATTTTGTAAAAAGGGTTTGCAAGAGTTCCATTTGACCATCTTACAAATGGGTCTTCTCCACCCCATGATTTTTATATGGAATAATTTGATTCAGAATCAGGTTTATTATCAGGGACATTTTCACATGCAAGGAATTTGCCTTGGTATAAATTGGTTCTTACAGTACACATGTGCAAAAATTCGCAACATGAGCATAAAACACAGTTGAGCGTTGTTGTAAAGTGTGGGGTCCGGAGTGTGTATGAGTGTGTGTGTGTGTGTGTGTTTGGAGAAGGAGGCATAAGAGCCAGTGACAGTGGGGACCCGGGCCTTGTTGAGGAACCCCACTGTTATCGAAAAGAAACTATTCTTGTGGTTTGATTGGTTTCATATCTTTCATTAAATTAAATGATACTGAATATTCACTAATTAATGATATTAGTTTATTAATTTTCATTAACTAATCCATTATTTAAAATCGTCTGCACTCATATATTTTATTGTAATAATGCAGCACAAAAAATAAGTATTTCCAAATAAGTAGCAAAAGAACTCAATGAGAAAAAACAAAGATAATATCATATGGGAAAATGACTTAAAATGTCTTTTTATTCATATAAAATTCAATTAAACACACACTTGTGTGCTAAACAAATCCAAACAATTACAGCTATTCAGTTTCAAGCAGATTTATTTTCCATTGCAAAAACTACTACCACTACATGCTACTAATTTTACTAACACCATTATGCATTAACAACTTATGGATCATGAGTCTTTGAAAATTATTATAGGTCAAACTTAAGAAATATGCTTCAGTGTAAAGCCATTGGAGTGCCATACTATGAAAATTTATTTTATTTAACTTCCGGTATTGTTATGATTCATTTTTGCCAACTTGACGATGCTGGATTCTAAGTAGTGAAATCCGCTTCCTGTCCTTTTAACACACTGGCTGCTGGGCGTCTCCCTGCCAACACTTAAAGGCAGGAAAACTGTCTTTTTCTCAACAACAATGTTATGTATATATATTGTTATACAAATTTATTTGAAAACCAGAGCAGATAAAAGAGAAATATAATTAGCCTAAGTTTGGACCAACACAGATCAAGAGATCAAACTAAGAATAAAAATAAGACACAAATTCCTTTTTGAATAAAATACATTTGGTTATCACATTTAAAATACTTAAAAATAACTGATGCACACTTTCTCTCACTTTTAAAATTAATAATTGATTGTAAACCAGTCCATTTAAAAAATCCTTAACACTTGTACACAAAGTAAATCTTAAATGGAAAACTAGTGTTTATAAACAAAATATACAAATATCATCAATATGTGCTGTTTATTCATAATTTATTCAAGTTCATTAACTAAGCAAGGGGATTGTTATTCTCAATCTTTTAAATGTATGTAATCGTGCCTGTTTAATATTCTGTCTCTATCATTGATTATTGCCTATTAACATGAACAGTTGATACTTTTCAGCATTAGCAGAGTGTAGACAGAGGGTTTGAGGTCATGATGGGAGCGTGTGTGCAGGACAATAGTTTGGGTAACAAAGGACAGATGGTGGGCTTCACTTCCCGTCCCCCCAGCCCGTCACAACAATAACACAACAATAACCTTGAAATCAACACACAAAAGCATCACACACGCTCCTCGGCAAAAGAGGAGCATGTGCTGTACCACACACACACACACACACACACACACACAGAGTCAGGAGGATGTATGAAGCCTGAAGCCTTGTATTCTTAATCGCTCAACTGAGATGAATGAAAATTGACTCATTTTCCTACAGACAGAAAGGACATAAACACTTATGAGCACCCTGCACAACAGCCAGGGGGGTCTGAAGCCTGATAAGCTTTGTTGCCTTGTTGAAAGAGGCTATATAATGTTTTTGTTAACAGGCCTTTCTCCTTAATAGCTCATAAAAGTAACGATTTGGTGATAATTTGCTTTCATAAGTCAAAGTATTGGTGGAAAAAAGTGTTTCTCCATCTGTCGGATGGATTCTTTAATAGAATAGTTTAACATTTTGTAAACTAAGCTAAGTATTGTACATTTACTTTCTCTCTTGGGAATGAGATGAGAAAATTAATCTCATGACTGTAAATTTCATGTAAACCTGTGTTTCTGTGACAGAGATTTTCCAAAATTGTTTATGTTATCTATGGAGCCCTGTAAGTGACAACATTTAAAGAAATGTCATGCCACAAACTAAAAACTTAAAAATTAAGTATAGAAAACAATAAAACTGTATCCCTTTCCTTAATCCTCCAATTAGTTAGAAGTGTTTTGCTCTAGTTTCTTTGACATTTGAAGAAAAAAAACAACATTAAATACCACACATCCACAAAATGTCTTGTTTCCATTGACGTCGTGATGAAGACAAGGGATATAGCCTACAGTTGGAAGACAGTCCCACATCTAACTAACTTTAATAGTGTTAGCTTGCTGCCTAAAATGCTTTAGATACTGTTACAATAATTTATACCATGATGCATGTATGCAGTATAATTGGCCTACATGATTAACATTACACGCACTAGCTGGTGTAGTTTTATGACTTTGGTTAGCTTCAGATAGGTAGCCATAGCAAGCTAACTTTGCTGATGTTAGCTTGCTGGCTAAGAAACTTTAGCTAACAGTTACAATAATTACACCATAATGCTACAGCCATGTGCAGTTCAATAAATGAATGAATAACATTACTGCTGTCATTTTATGAAAAAGGTTAGCATCATATAGGTGGATATCTGAAGAGGTTGGTACTTGGTGTGTTAGCTACATGTTTGCTCAGCTGATGTTAAACACAATTCTACACCTTTCACTACATGTTGTCAGGTGACGACACATGGTGTCATCTTGGGGTTTATCTACTAAGCTGTAGCTCTGTTTGCTCTGCAGGTGGCCGATTAGTGCGCTCTGGAATACCTGTGGCTGCGAGTGTAATTAATCTCTCTGCTCCTTTCCACAGGCACCACGTCTTGGTTTGGTTATGCTGTTCTGAGTTTATTCCGATGTTTTTGCTGTACACATAACAACACCTGGACCCATCACTTTCACTCATGCACCTCACACACCACTGACTTACTGACTTCCACACCTCACGTTGACTAGACTTACTTTAATTTGTTCCAGTTTGGTTTAATTTGATTAATAAAATGCTCGTGTGTATCCTTTTTGTTGTGGCCACTACGTTTTGTCAGTTTAGGGCTCCATATTTATCATAGGTTCAGATTTGTATTTAAATCCACTTTTTAGCTAACTTTATAAATTAACTGAATACTCAGACTTACAAAATATAAACTACTGTATATTTCCTGCTACAGTAAATTTTCCTAGGATACATAAGCAAAGTTTCAAAGTGTTAAATGCTTTTGACTGTATCATGCTATCTGTCAACACAACGTCATATGTTATATTTGCCCTCGAAAAGCATGAGATCGTCCTGTACAGCCTAATCCTGCTCTTAAAGCAGCTGATAGCCCACAGCTGCTCAGTTTAAAAAGACTGATCAAGGACAATCTGTTTTGTCTGTGGGGTTTTATAAACAGAAGGACCCCTCTATAAGCTTTCATCACCACCATCATCATCATCACTGCCTTCTGCGATCAAAGGATTAGGCGTATGATGGCACCCCCTGGGGATGCATGTAAATGTAGCAGGCTTGTATTAATCTGCCTTGCTAAAAAGCACAATGAGTTTGCATCACTTGGCATAGGATGGCTAATAATGGTCTAAAGATATCCACTTATGTCTCTCTAGGAAAGCGATATCTTGCCAAAGGCCAAAATAAAATTACAAGAACTCATGTAGGCACACAAGTCCATCAGATATCTCCCATCATTCATCCTCTAATTGCTTCTCAGTCCCTTTTTAGTTTAGTTTTTAGTTATTGTCTTTTTAATGTTGTTTTATACCTTATCTTTAGCTCTTTGCATATACGTTTATGTTTATAAATATATAAGCATATAATATAACATGCTGTATGATTGTGCTGAATTATAATATAATAATTGAAATAATTTATCAAGCAAAATGCTATACATTTCTGACAAGACCAAGTGAAAAAGTGAAAAAATAATAACATAATGAAAACAGATTTACAGATAAACTGATTATGAGAGTTATCTTTGGTCATTGTGCAAATACTGTACTGAATAGACTTTGCCTAACAAGATATTTTCCACCATGCAGCGAATATTAGCTTCAACATTTTCCATAATAAATTATTACTTTGAGGTTTTCCACCACACTCTAAATCATGGATGAAATCCCCGAAGTCCACTGAACATGGCAAGTTCTGACAATATAGCCGTTCAGCCTTATGATGATTTATGAGAGTTGATATTGTAAGGGGGGGGGGGAAACAGCATAGGCAGTCTAAAAACAGTTAAAATTAAGAGACAATTCAGGTAAAAAAATTAAAAGAAAGAAGCTACTGATGTTTATACACTATGACCTTTACACTCTGCTGTGCTTTGTGTTGTATGTTGATGATTTTGTCTCAAATTTGACAAGTTCCATCCTCCTTCTTTTAAACACTGCACAGCTCTTTTCATTTTAAAACAAATATTTAACATTTTATTTGTAAATGTTTTTGTATTCATTCATATATAACATAACTAACGTAACGCATATTTGTTGATAAATGATCTCTGCGAAGAAAAAACTGGCAGCTCTACCAGAAATGATCACCTGCTGCGACTGCAGACAGAACAACATTGCGTTGAACTTGGAGCTTGTCTGGGATGAATCACACAATAGGTCTGAAAGGAAGGAGGGAGGGTGTATTTGGAGGAGGTCAGCTTCCGATAGTGTGTCAGTGAACAGCAGGTCAGGGAAGAGGAGTGGCCGGTAAGAACAGCTGCTGTCACCGGCATGAGTTTTCCTCTGCTGAGGGGCCTCTGGAAGGGATGAGGATGACAGCTTCCTGGAATAGGATCAGAATGTGCTACACCAAAAAATCTACGTGGAAGCCATGTCTACAGTAAAATAATAAAATCACATAAATGGTACGTGCAGGTCTGGTGGTGCCCAAAAATGTACCTTACATTCTCTCTGGAGCTATTAGATGGGTTAAATAGCTTCTTCCTTCTATTGAAGACAGGAAACAATGAGTCATTTCTAACTGTGGGAATGTAAGTATTTTGTGCAGGAGTCAGTAGTAGTTGAGTACATTTACTCAAGTACTGTAGTTAAGTGCAATTCTGAGGTAATTTTACTTCAGTATTTCCACTTGCTACTTTATACTTCTACTCCAGTACATTTCAGAGGGAAATATACTTTTTACTTCACTAGGTTGGGAACCATTGAACTAAACTACTAACCTAACTGCATATAAAGTAGTTTACCTCCACATTGACTAATAGTTTAAATACATTTAGCTGCTTATACTTTATTTATTTTGCTTAAGTAGGATTATACTTGTGACAAAGTATTTTCACATTATTGTATTTGTGCGTAATTAAATGATCTGCATAGTTCAAATTGCATTAACATGTGCGTAGGATCAAAAACTCCGGCACACTTTGTGGGCTCTTGTGGTGACTTGATGAACATCCTTTTGGTCCGTAGGCCTTCATCAGGGGACAATTAGTTTTATCAGATTTGTCAGGAAGTCATAAATGTGACTTGTTATTCATTATCAAGGGTGGAACAACAAAACAGGACGTTTTGGTTCCTCAAACATCAGAGAAAATCCATGCTTTCTTTCCCAGATCTACTCTTCACTTCAAAGAATGATGCACGCGCAGCCAGATGGTAATCAAAGATTTGTGCGCCAGCAGACTGTCGTAATTGAGATGGGATGGGTGTGTGCTGACGTGCTTTGTCACTGCCTTTGGCCTTGCTCCAATCTGTCCTGCAGAGACAGGAGGGCGTAGTCCTGATCTGCAGCTGGCCTAGTGCTGTCTGACCTCTGCCCTCACCCTCCTCCCACTTTTTCTGCTCACCCACCAGCTCTGTCACACCCACTATCTGCCTGCCTTTTCTTCTCCCTGTCTCCAGTACGACTCATTTCACAATGAACAGTTTAGGGCGCTCAATGGGGTTATTTTTTTCCCTTGATGCACTTTACGAAGACTCTGCTTGAGGCAACACTGACACATGTATAAAACTAGTGTTATTATCCCCAAATCAAAAATATATACTGGAACTGCAAAAATAAAAAGTAATTGTGGCTGATGATCTAAAAAACAGTGCTGATTTAGTCAAACCACAATCCATCACTTCACTGTATGCCACTCAAGGCCAAAGGTAGAAGTTACCAGTTAACCTACACTTACTGGAGCTTAGTTGTCATTATTTAGTACTTAGTATAATGTTGCATACAGTTAAAATATTTGAACTTTTTACTCTAACTTTACTTTTTATTTTGAGTAGTTGTTATAGATGATGTCACCCCTAACAACGGATGTAATTAATATTTTGAGAGTAAAACCTTGACTATTGGATGGACTGCTGTGAATATACGACATATATTCAAGGTAGCTGGAGGATAAAACAACTTTGGTGATCCCATAACCTTTCATCTACCGCCATTATCATAATTTCAATTTGAAGAGACAGGAAACGTAGGAGACTGACAGAGGAGATGACATGCAGCAAAGGGCTGTGGGCTGGAATCACCGCTTGTATATGGTGCACATGCTCTACAAGGGGAGCTAACGTAGCTATTGTATGGCTTCAGTAAGTGTCGTAGCCATAGGACTGGGCGATATGGTCAAAAATGTTATTGCGATAAAAACTTTCACATCATTCAGTATTGATTATTATCACGATAAATGTCAAATCATTATTTCTTTCAAGTTTAAAGGCTGATTTTTGCTCCTGCGTGAAAGCTAAAGAAACCAGATGGTTAATTGTGGTTTTAAACTCTTCTTTATGGACAGAACATAACAGTGGATCACTTAACAAATCTGAGGTAGAACATTCAAAACAATTAAGTAAAACCTTTTTTCAGTCCCCTCTCCTCAAAATAAATATCTGTGCTAATTCATTAGTGATTCAAAGGAATTAAATCAAATATTTTTTGTGATTGAGGAAAATGATATTGCGATAATTATCATTATTGTTTTTTTGTGCCCAGTCCTATATTGTCATTTATCATTTTAATAGAGCTTTTATCATCATGTGATGATTCATTGTTACATAGTGGCATGAATTATGCTCCATACAAAATATTTAGGTAAACAGAACAATTTTTATTTGAAAACAAAACCTAAAACTTAATTTAGCAATTTCCTTTAAAACAAACAGTGGCACACAAATATAAAATGATCATGTGATAGCAGTAAAATTAACATTTTGCAAGCTAAACATTTCCCTAAAACCTTTTTTTTACTGTATATTTGATTGTTGAAGTACATCAGTAAGATCAGTGCATTACTGAATTACTTAGCATATGGCACAATCAGATACCGCTGCACTGCCTGACCCTGCAGATGGATGCAGTGTAAATGTGAAGACGCACAGACATAAATAGCTGGTACGTTTGAGATCGGATTCCCACAGATCAGCAGAGGTCGGTCAGACTCTCCTTCCGTCTGACGGGCAGCAAATGCAGATTTGAGGTAGAGGATACATCAGACAGCAGGAACCAGCAAAACAATAACCTTTCTGCACACATAACAGCAGCTTCTGGATTTATAATTTGACAACAAACTGATCAATTTCCAACTGACTCTCATCAATTGTTTTTCTGCAATCCTGCTGTTGCAGCTTTCAAATACAGTCAAGTCCTATGTAAAGGAGACCAGCACCCTGTTATCCTAGATATGCAGGGTGTACAGCAGGCAGCCCTACAGTGAAACAATTGAAGAGTTTTTTTTTTTTTTACAGAACTGATCAGTATGACAGGAAGTAATATAAGAACATGGTTAAAACTTGTACCAGCCACCAGACAGAACTTACTGGAATGCTGTTTGTTTTGTTTAGAATGATGAAAATGACGTAACTAATTCAAGTAAAGTCAGTTAATTTACATTATCTGTTAAAACCTGCTGTGCTCTTGGTGTAGTAAGGCACAACATCACAGACAGGCACTCGTGAGAGAAGAATTGTCATTATTACAGTGAAGTAACACTGACAACCAGAGAAAACAATCCAATCTGGTAGTAAAACTGTGTCTAAGCATTATTTTCAAATCAAAAGTCAAGTTATTTCACTAAACATTAAAAGATCTCAAAGTTAAATTGAGAAACTCAAAAGGAGATTTAGTGCAAAAATCACAAAAACGTAATGCAGCAAACTCCCTGAAACTTCTCTAAACATTGGTTTTATTGCTACATCCTTTTTACTGCACACATCCTCATTTACGAGAGGCAGGAATCAAGATGCTCATTGATCTTTGACTCCTCCACCTGTGCTTGGCATGCTGGACAGCTGACCATCAATGCTGAAGAGGAGGAAGAGGATGAAGAGGTGGGGGTAGAACTGGGGACTCCTGCAGAGGAATGGAGTGAGGAAGTAGCGGAGGATGCTGTAGCAGTGGCAGTTCTTTGCTGCATTGCAGGTGATTTTTCCTTCAGAGACTCCCCTGATGCTGCTGAACTGCTGCCTAGTGTCTTCTGGAAGAAGTCAAAGATGCTGGCTGAGCTGCTGCGGTCGTCCCACGACCTCTTCCTCGATGCCTGACCCCCACCAGCAGCTCCCGATGCACCATCACTATTAGACTGATTGAAATACTTGGAATGTGTTGGTTTGGCAGGGCTGCCTTTGGTTCCTTTTGAAACCACAGAAGAAAGCTGCGAATGGCTGGATTTACTAGGACTTGGAATAAATGTTCTGGGAGAGGAAGCTGAAGGGGTACTTTGTTGTTTAGGAAAGAAGGAAGAAGCAGAGGTAGCACTCATTGTAATGTCTGATGATGTTAGTGAATCTCTGTTAAGTTCTGCGTTTGAGGTGGAGGATTGACTCACTGACTTTCTGACACTTGTGCTGTTGAAAAGGTCTTCAATGGACCTCTGTTTGATTTTATTTGCTTCTTGGCTACCTCTGCTGCGGGGTTTGGGGATTTTCACAGGCGAGCCGTTGATGTTGACAAAAACCCTTGTGTTACCAACAGACCTCTTTATGTGTGGCTTCTGCCCCGTGGAGGTAGCTGGTCTGACGGAGGGTAGTGCACTAGAGATTCCTTTGTTACCCAGGCCGGAGCGAACAGGAGAATTGAGACTTTTAGCCGGAGATGAAGGGGTGAAGAGTTTCTTTGGAGAGGAAATGGGGCTGGACGAGGATGTTTTCAGAACAGGCACTACTAGTTTGTAAGATGGGGAGGAAGACGTCGAGGACTGTGATGTCCCTCCGAGTAGAAAGCCTTTGCCACTAAATGGGATAATGTTCCTTATGTCCTGTGATCCAGAACCTGAGAGGGGAAAAGGCACAAATTCAGAGTCATGCAACAGACCTTCTTTGAGAAGTCTGTCTAAATGATTACAGTACTACTACTATGCTAAATGTCTTTACATTTCAGTTTTTTTACCTAAAAAGGTACTGGAAGATGGATTTTGTTACCTTTGCTACTAGCGGTTTACCAGCATTTCTGGTCTTTATACTAAGCTCAACTAATCAGCTGTAGCTTCATATTTATTGCACAGACATGAGAATAGAATCTTCTCATTTAACACTCAACAAGAAAAGAAGTCAGTGTAAAATGTTGAACTATTCCTTTGAATATGGGCAGAAAGGTCATGAAAGAGAGGACTATTTCTTATCATATTTTTGTGATCTTGAAACAAGACGCGTTAGTAAAAAAAATGTTCTGGGATTGTGACCTAATCACATTATTATTATGAGAACAAAATAACATGAAAGATTCAGTGTGTTTGCATGACACCCCGTGTGTTTTTTTCATTTAACAGCAAATAGCTTACAATGTTTTAAAAAATGCACAATTATATATATATAGCTATTACAACAGAACATGCAGCAGAGGAATAAGCTAATCACCTGTAGTTGTACTTGAAGGCTTTCTATTTCCTGAGGCCTTTGTCTCTGAGGTCTTCCCATCCTTTTTGCCTTTTTTGCCATATCCTTCAGGCTCCTTGACTTTGGTGTACGTCCCTCCACACGTCCTCTTGTGGTCCTCCCACCAGGGGTCCAGAGAAGATGGAGCCCGATTCATGGCCCTCTTCACAAAGCCAAAGTAGGGCTTGCGGTTCTGGCAGGGCCCGTTGCATTTCCACCAGTGCTGCCGGTACACATCAACCTCATCGTGGAAACTGTGGTAGATCTGACAAGAAGACGAAGACGTTTCAGAGGGTTATTTCTATTATTGCAATCTCTGAGACAAGCAAAGACAATAAGAGCTAAATACTTAAACTGTGAAAGAGAAGATAATCCTACAGAAATGTTTGTCCCACTGGACTTGTTGATCCGATTCATGTGTTTGCAGAACTCAGGACCATGACCGTCTCGGTCTCTGTTGTTCTGGGTCACAAACAGCAGCGCGTGAATCATTTCATGAAGGAGAGTCTGTGGAAACAAACAAACAAACAAACAAAAACTTAACTTGTAAAATCTGTCCAAGTAAACACATTTTGATATGCATGGAAGCTTTTGATCTCAAATTCAGAGGAAGAGCTGCTAGAGGTGTTTATGTACTTTGAATTTAAAGTTTTAGTAAACTGATGTAAATATGCTGTTTTACCCATGTGAAGAAAACATAAAAGTGATTATCTTTACTATTTACAAATAGAAATATTTGAATTGTTAAGAATAAAAATTGTAGGAGGGGAATTAGATCAAATTCTCGCTTCTGAAAAAAGCTAGATTGGTGTTAACTATCCACCTCACCTCCACCAGGTCTTTTCTCGGCCTAAGCTTCAGCAGAGGGGCACTGAGTCTGATTGAACACAGTCCACCTCGGCCCTCATAAGAGCACACTCCAGCACACCTACGAGAAAAGTGTACAAAGAACAGGAGACATCAGAGGCAAGAAACACAGCCCTTTCATAAACTCCACTGGAAAGATAATTTGCACCCAGCAGCAGTGGTTTACAGGGAAGTTTGAATAGTGACAAAGCACCTTCACACAGAACCCCATACAAAAACCTGACCGTTTTATTTTCAGTAACTGTATTACTGCACCTAGCTTCAAGTTATTGTGACTTTGGCCTTTGACAACAAAAGATAATATAACGTTAACATAATATGTGACTTACAGTGTCATTCTTGGGCTCCACTTAACCTCGACACCGCTGAGTTTCCCGTAGAAGAACATGTCATTGAACTCCAGAAACATAGCTCTGACATCGGGACTGGGGTCCAGCATCTCCCAGGACTCGTCCACGATTGACAGCGGCCTCTCGGGCTGGACAGTCTGCTTCCAGTAGGGAACAACATCGCTGCTGCCGCCACCAGTTACCTCCACTTTCCGTTTCTTACTGCTTTGTCCGAAGCTATTATCATCAAAGCCGTTTGATGACACCAATGCCGTCTCGTATTCATTGTCAAATTGCTCCTGTAGCTGAATGGCAAGCAGAAAATCATCATCCATGGCGACGGAAACAGTGGGACAGCTGATGTAGCCACGTAGCTAGGCTAACGTTTATGTTAGCTTCCTGAAGCTACTTAACGTTAGCGTGCGTGGCTTTTACACGTTTATCAAACAATACGTGACAGAATCACCGGATCACAGTCTTTCAAATATACTATCCGTCGAAATACTCGTATTTGTGTCATGATTTCGGCGAAAACATCCACATCTTCATGTTGGACGAAGGTGTTTGATGTTACTCCAAAACTAGCGCCAACGGTTGTGTCAAGTTTACCACAATAAAACCAAAGAACATCCGTTAAGGATTTCAAAATAAATCTTCTGTTGGAAAAACTATGGCTATCTTTTTTTAAGGGACGTGTGTTCTTAATACAACTATTTTTTCTTTTTGTTTAAAGAACCAAAGTACGATTATTTGTTGTTCTGTGCCATATACTAATGCTTTTAAATCGTTTAATATTTTACTCTTGTGATAACACTTTTTTCCGCTTTAGAGTTGAGTAACTCTCGCTAACTTGAAAAAAACTCACAATTGTTCGAAGTCAAAGAAAGGCATTCTGGGATTTGTTGTCTTCTTCGTTTTAAGTAGTTGGCCAATCTAAAATCAACTCGGGGTTTTCTGTTGTAATTTAGTGATTAAATAAATAAAAAGCAACAAGTCAAGTCTTGCATAAAGTTGGTATTTCTAATGCTCTAGTAAAATATCGATTTATCGAAAATATCGATTTTGGCTTGTACATGGCTTGTATACGTGACAAAATGTTCTTGAAAAATGTTTATATCATGAGATTTGTTGGCCATCATGTTTTCTGAGTTCCGTGCGGTTCAGGGTGTCAACTTCCTGTTTGGGTTGAAAGCGGATAAGAACCTAGGAAGATCCTAGATGAACACTTCCTCTGTCTACATTTAACACTAATTTGTCAGTATTTTATTTTAAGTAAACGCACACACGGTAGAAGATGTCGGAGACGGGGAACCGACTACGGAAGCTCCTCGAATCGCCTAATTTCGAGCCTCAAAACTACGTGAAGCAGCTGTCACAGCAGTCCGATGGCGACAGGGATTTGCAGGAGCATCGCCAAAAAATCCAAACCTTGGCGGACGAAACGGCTCAAAACCTGAAGAAAAATGTCTATAAGAACTACAGACAGTTCATCGAAACGGCCAAAGAGATTTCCTACCTGGAGAGCGAGATGTACCAGCTGAGTCACATCCTGACAGAGCAGAAGAGCATCATGGAGAGCATCACTCAGGCCTTGCTGTCCACAGACAAGGATGAGACATCTAAAGAGATGCAGGCTGCTTTCCCCAAAGAGACCGAGGAGGTGAAGCAGAGGACGCTCACCTCGCTGCTGGAGAAAGTGGAAGGCGGTAAAAACATCATGGACACCCCAGGAAGGCACCTGGTCTACAATGGTGACCTTGTGGAGTTTGATGTTGACAACATGTCCCCCATCCAGAAGGTGCACGCTTTCCTGATGAACGACTGTCTGCTAATCGCCACCTGGCTGCCAAACCGTCGAGGAACCGTCAAGTATAAATACAACGCCCTGTATGACCTGGAGAGCTTCGCTGTGGTTAACGTAAAGGACAACCCTCCCATGAAGGACATGTTCAAGATCCTCATGTTCCCAGACAGTCGCATCTTCCAGGCGGAGAACAGCAAAATCAAGAAGGAGTGGCTGGAGATCCTGGACGAAACCAAGAAGAACAAAGTCACCAAGGACAAGCACAAGAAAGAGGAAGAGGCCCCTACTTCTCCTGTAAGGGCCGAGGTGTCCACCAATCCTTTCGATGTGGACGAGGACGAACGAGCCGTCGCTGAAGAAAGCGTGGACCTCAGTCCTGAGTGGATCCAGGGGCTGCCGGAGGATCTGGATGTTTGCATTGCCCAGAGAGACTTTGAGGGCGCCGTGGACCTGCTGGACAAGCTCAACGAGTATCTCAAAGACCAGCCGGTCACCCAGAGGGTCAAAGAGCTGAGGGTGAAGGTGGATGAGCGTGTGCGGCAGCTGACAGAGGTCCTGGTGTTCGAGTTGTCTCCAGATCGCTCACTTCGAGGTGGACCCAAAGCCACGCGGCGGGCCGTGTCCCAGCTGATCAGACTAGGTTCTGCTTTATTTTCATAACCATCCCCGCACACACAAACAAAAAATAAATTTTCATGTAGGTGTTAAATCTATTTTAAATACTTGGAGCGAGCATGCAAACAATGAAGCCTTCAAGATTTTGTTATCGGAGGCTGTCAAAGTGTGATTGTAGATAAATAAATGCTGCCTGCAGTGTTTCACACATTTAGGGTGTATAAATGCAACTAGCAGTCATTTTTTAAATAAATTAAAATAGTGGTTTATAAAATGCAGGAAAATGATGAAAAAAGTCCATTACAATTCCCTTTAGTCCGTGGTGATGTCTTCATATTGCTTATTTTGTCCAAACATATTTAGTTTCTTATCGCATAAGATAAACAAAAGCAGCAAATCCTCACCACTGAGGAGGTGAAACTGGTGATTTTGTGTCGTTTTTGCTTGGAAAAAGAATTTTGTTGGTGTATCTATCAACTGATCATTTTAACTTGAGGAACAACAATTTCTTATAGGGTTTAGGTATGAAAACTATTATAGTTGTAGAATAATTGCAGGTTAACATTCCTGTTTTTGATTCTTTATACGTTATACGTTATACTATTAGAATAGTTTCTTAGGTTAACTATCTTCTAACTGATCATCACTTGGTAATTCATTAAAACTGATTTAATGAAATTTCAAGATTTGATATTATGGTTTGGTGCAGACAGTAGTCCCAGTACAGATTAGAGTGGATACATTTTTCCTGTCTAGAAATGGTTGGACATAAATTTGAGTTTTTGGACCAAACTCAACACAGTGTCAAAAACATACTGGTAAAGTATAAACCTGTGTTCAAAATTGCAGCTTGGGAACACACGGAAAGAAAAGAGTGAATGAGACAATGAATTCAAATGATCTGAAAATCAGGAAAAAATGAAGAACCACACTTTTTTGAGTATTTAAAAATCACAACATTTCACTTTGTTATGTATTAGCTGTTCAGATATATTTTCAAAAATTTTATCTTCTTAAATTATATTCTAAACATTCTTTCAAAGTCTCATGCACAAACTCAGTGTATTGTGATGGACAAAACTAAATCTCTTAAACCCCCATATGTATAGTATGGCAGCATAAATGCTATGAAAAATGTGCTGTCTCACTACATTAGAACATATATTTGCAGAACATTTGAATTACTTTTTGCCATTATTTCAGGCCAGTCCACCAAAGCCTGTGAGCTGTTCCTGAAGAACCGTGCTGCTGCAGTCCAGACGGCCATAAGGCAGCTGCGCATAGAAGGAGCCACATTGCTCTACATCCACAAACTCTGCAACAACTTCTTCACAAGCTTGCTGGAGACGGCCAAAGAGTTTGAGATGGACTTTGCAGGGAACACGGGCTGCTACTCCGCCTTTGTGGTCTGGTCCAGATCAGCCATGAGGATGTTTGTGGACGCCTTCAGCAAGCAGGTAGGCGGAAGATTAAAAACTAGAAGGTCAGGCATTTTAAGTAACTGTTGGCAAGTAAAAAACTAGTGCAGGAGGTAAAGCCTTATGATTTGGCAGCCAGAGAGTGAATTATGTCATTTGATAACTTGTGAAGGTATATTTATGTCTTAATAAAATGAGTTTGGTGTCTCTTATCAGGTGTTTGACAGTAAGGAGAGCCTGTCGACAGCAGCAGAGTGTGTTAAAGTGGCCAAGGAGCATTGTCAGCAGCTGACTGAGATCGGCCTGGACCTGACATTCACCCTGCAGTCGCTGCTGGTCAAAGACATCAAGGCAGCCCTGCTGAGCTACAAGGACATCATCATGGAAGCCACCAAGCACAGAAACTCTGAGGAGATGTGGAGGAGGATGAACCTCATGACCCCCGAGGCTCTGACTAAACTCAAGGTGGATTTGGCTTGTCTGTCTGTCCTGAAACATTTATTGGATTAATTGTTTAGTTGATCGACAAATGTGATTTATCAAGCAAAGATTCCTAACATGCTCTGGTTTCGGCTTCTTGAGTGTGAGGATGTGCTGCTTTTGTCCATTCTATGTGATTGTAAACTAAATATCTTTGGGTTTTTGACTGTTGGTTGGACAAAACACAATATTTAAGATGTAACTTTGGACTCCGGTAAATTGTGATAGGCATTTTTACCTGCCAAATGCTGGGTGTTAATGAAAAAAGGTGTTAAATTCTCTATCTGTTGAAACATTACCATATTCATTTTTCTCTCTGCAGGACGAGATGCGCAGCTGTGGCATGGGCAGCTTTGAGCAGTACACTGGCGACGACTGCTGGGTGAACCTGAGCTACACCATCGTGGCCTTCACAAAGCAGCTGATGAGCTTCTTGGAGGAAGGACTGAAGCTCTACTTCCCCGAGCTGCACATGGTGCTGCTGGAGAGCCTGAGGGAGATCATCCTGGTCGCCGTGCAGCACGTGGACTACAGCCTCCGCTGTGAGCAGGACCCTGAGAAGAAGGCCTTCATCGTGCGGAATGCCACCTTCCTCCACGACACCGTACTGCCGGTGGTGGAGCTGAGGTTTGAAGAGGCCGTGGGCAAGCCGGCCAAACAGCTGCAGGACCTGAGGAAGAGCAACAGACCGGTTCGAATCAATCCAGAGAGTACCACATCTTTGGTCTGAGACTGATGGCTCATTTAAAAAAAGATGTGTGACTGCAAAAATGGATGGTGGACAAAAAACACCTGAAAGCTCTTTCACTGACTGTTCTGGCAATTTCAACTCAGAACTTCAAAATAAGCGTTAGTTATTGGTTGTTTTGAGATGGCAGGACACTAAATTACAGGATACAACATGGAGAACGGCAGGCTAAGAAACCTTAAGATAGGTATGTGTACAAAGCTACTTTGCACCTGACTTTGCACCAACTCACAAAGATGATACTAGCTGATAGTGATGAAAACTTATATTACTATTGCTTTCCCAAATCCCTATTGCTGCATCCAATATTTGATTTGATCAAAGAACATGTTCCAAATGTCAGTGGAAAGTCCCTTTTGAGTTAACAGCTGATTTATGGGGCTCTTTTGATGTCAGACTGTAGTGATAACCAAGAAATGCTCTCTTCTCAAAGTTTGTGTAATAAACAAATACATTAAGGACATATTTCAGACAAACAGCCGATCAGTGTGTGTACATTTTCTGATGTTATGTGCAGTTTTGTTCACATGTAGGACCCTGTTTTCTCTGAAATGGCATTACACAATTTATTACAGACTTTGGCAAAAATTCGATCTTGATAAAATATGTCTGTACTCATGGAAAGCTTTTTTTGGGGCTATTGGACCTGTTATTAGACACTAAATGGAATTCTAGCATAATAAGACTGATTAAAAGGGATGACTGAAAAGCAAATGCACTGGTTGTAATACTCAAAGTTTGTGTTTAAGAAAAACACGTGAAATATAATAAAGCTCATCATGTAAGCACAATCTTGTTTTGTTGTATTTTTCCAGGAAGATGAAAGTTGCACTGACTAACAAAGCAAGTGTTTAGTATGTTTGTGCCTCATTGTCTGTTATGTAAAACAATCGGTTAAGAGTCAGTAACATAAACTTTTTTGTTATGTCCCCGTTTGGAAGCTGAAAATATTTCACCTCCTCTTCAATGCATAAAGTAATTGCATTTGTATTAGCCTGTAACAATGTTCGGGGAAATAGTAAATGAGCCAGTGCGTTAAAATACAAGTTAAACTTTGCCCAAACTTGAGCATTGTGCCTAAATACACATGGTTGTCCTACTACATTGTGAGTGACATCTATTTGTATTTGACTCATATTTTTGAGCATCACTGCTTTTTTTTCTTTTCTTTCCTGCTACATGTCTTATCTAACTTGTACTTTTATCTCTCTGACTCACATCAGAGCACTCTTAGTTTTCTCTATCATTCCCAAGAGAATAAGATTTATCGACCTTTTTCACAGCAAGCATTGTGACTTGTCATGGCAACTTAATGATGGTCAAAACGTCAGCTGTTAAAAGATCCTGCTGTTTCACTCCAGGTTATTTACCCTGTACATTTAGTTAAAAGAAATCAGCATTACATCTTCAATAGATCTGTGTGATGATGAATGAAAAATCAAGGTTGCAGAGAATTTAATAAATCTCATCCTGAATCTAGCGGTTTGCAGAGCAATCATCCCAGGTGTGTTAGTATAAATAGTGCTTTTATATTGGATTGATTTTCTTAAAAACAAGATTATAAAAAATCTTTTCTGTATAAAATAAAAGCGCTGTCATTCACACAGTATTTATTAATCCTGGTTTTATGGCAATGTTGCCCTCTTGTGGCGGCTTACAATGTAAAAATATGGAATATCGAGGTTGGTAGACAATATTCAGATGTTAAGTCACAGCACTTGAGTCTTTTTACTCATAAATCAAGTGACAATATTACAAATACACATTGTAGTACCCCAGCATTACATTTGTTTTGTAAGTAAAACTGCAGTAAAACCAATTTAAATTTTGTTATTGCAATATGAAAACAATTTCTTCTCTTTCTGTGTTAAACAAATCCCAGCAGCGACAAAGCCTAACATGCTACATAGCAGGCAGAGATATTTTTAGCCCCCATTCAACACATGATTGTTCTCTCTGCTTCACAGCTCATCACATTATAATCACTGATGTGATCGAGGGCTCAAGGAAAGCCTCGGGTGAAGTTATCAGCTTATCCTCAGAGAAGAAGAATCCGGCTGGTCAGATTATTCGAAAGGAATTCATTCAGTCAACGTGATGAGTTTCATGTGGTGAATAGATGGCAGTTTTTTTTTCGTTCAGCCCATTCTCCTTTGATTAAAGAATAAAAACATGTTATCTAACTTTCTCCAGCCTTATTTTGCTTCACATACATGCAGTTCTACAAATTCCCATTTGGGAGATGCTCAACTCATCAGAGGTACAGTATTTTGATGGTAACACTTCTTTGCTTTTATTTTCCGCTGCTGTTATTAAAGCTGCTATGGGTAGGATTTTACTTTTGTGCCATGCAGGACAAGTTTCAAAATTGACACCTTTTGAACTGGATTGTCTCATTTCTCTTCAAACTACAACTTACATCATCAGAATTTTATAAATAAAAACATGATATAATCACATGTAAGTTCTTTACAGAATACATTTAAAGCTGTGTAATCAATGTTTTGATATTAACAATGGGTCAACTTTACATTTATTCATTTAGCTGACGCTTTTATCCAAAGCAACTTACAATTGCTATACATGTCAGAGGTCGCACGCCTCTGAAGCAACGAGAGGTTAAGTGTCTTGCTCATGGACACACTGTTGGGGGATTGAACCCAAATCTCTCACACCAAAGGCAGGCATCTTAGCCATTGCGCCATCACCACCCTGACTAATCTGAAACGAGGTTGCTTGTAGTGATGAATCCACAGCTAATTGTCATGAGACTGCAGTTCTCCTCAGCTCTACAGAGCTTTCTAGTGTCTTTCAGCTCATTGGTTTAGTTTTTAACCCACAACTTCACTGTTTTGGTTTATTCTCTCTGTTCTCATCAGCACCAGATGCAATGCAAATGAAGCAAGCAGCTGCTTTCAGTGAAAACAAACTGATATACACACTGTTTGATTCAGTCAATCTACATGGGCCCCTTAATGGCTGATGATAATGATGAATATGTTCAGTCTGTTTGTCCTTGCTCTCTCTTTTTGAACAGCTGACTCCACTTTTGACATGAAATGGAAAAACAAATGCATAAAATGGAGCCCTATTTTCTGTGTCATACAGTTTAAAAATAACTCTTCTTTGACTGCAATTTTAACGGGATAGTGCTGGATGGGTATTGTGATTTTCTACAGGAGCATTTCTCAAAGAGTGCTACCCTTTACGAAGCCATTTAGACTTGACCATTTAACTTGAGCTTTCATCTGAACTGTTGGATTTGCAGCTCTTCCTTAGATTGTGGTTAAAGTTTAGGTTTGGCAATGAAAGTATTTGGAGGAGGTCAATGTGTAAGTTTGTGTATATCTTTGCATTAAAGTGTATTCAATTTACCACAGAACAGATCTGTAACTAGGTAATGGGATGCTAACAGGCCTAATAAATGGGAAAGCTGTCCCAGTGGGAGGGAGTAATGCTGCACCCTGAGGGATTTCAGTCACGGCTGCTGTCTGGTCAATTAAATGTTTAGCTAACACAGAAGGCTAATGTCACACAACACAAAGATGTTATGATTGAACTGACTACAAATCTTTGAGCATCTGTCCTCTCTGGTAGGATCGAGGATCTTCACATCCACAGTCATCATTAGTGTCTGCTGAGTTTTAACTTAATTTATCCCATCTTTGTTTGGTATATGCTAGTTATGCCACTGTGCTCATCTGGCTCAGACTGACAGGCAGAACAAATACGGATCATCAGGCAGTCACAATAAATTACCATTATCAGCATCACCATCACTGCTGACATGATGATCGACAATCGTGGCCTTTGTGTTCCCTGTATAACCCTAAGGATAGCTAAGAATAAAAGACATTTCCTTTACTAACTGAAATTAATTGAGCTTCCTTTCTTTTTTTTATTGCTGAATTTCTGGCCAGAAGAGTCACACGTAGATACCGATATAGATTAGGCTATGAGATTTGTAAACAGATTTGCCTTACTTGATTTCAGTTTTATGATACTTTATCCTTCTACTCTATCACATTTCAGAAGGCAAAAGTAAATTTTGAGCATGTATACACTGCATTTGATTGATTTTTTTTTTTTTTAAGTACAAGATATTGCAATTATTCTTCTTCAAATTCTGTATTTTTTTTAAAGAAAGAAAGAAACTTAGGAACATAAAACTAAGTACATAAGCTATATCACGATTTTGTTTAATGTTCATTGTACATCTTTCTTTGACTAGTTTGTATTTTGAATCACCATTGCTCTTCTCGCCTCCATTTGACAGTATTTTTCTTCTCTATATGGTTTGCCACACAAACGTATTTACAAACAGATAATTGAGGAGTTTTATGTTATATAGTTGGTATTTCCATTTCTTTTTGGGAGATTTTTTTTGGGTTTAGCATTTTGGCTGGACTATACATTCTAAAATTATTTATTTTATAATAGTATTTTAAAAGATGATTCTCCAACTTTAAGACCTGATAGGCCTTTATGTTTAAAGTAAAATTCCTGGCAGTGTGGAGACTTTAAAGACAGCATATACCTTAATTTTCTCAACATACGCTACAGAAACCACCTGACTGACAGAATCTATTTTGATTCTGTTTTGACTATATTCAATTGTACATAATTGTTATTAATTGTAAATAGTGTGTATACAGTGTGTATTTACACATCTACATAGATTGTTAATTGTATGTTGATTGTCTATAGTGTGTATACAGCCTGTATTTATACAGAATGTTAAGCTGATTCTACTTTTGTTGTATTTTGCTCTTTTTTGATTCCCTCTGTGCTGCTGTGCCAATTTTTATTTCCCCTATGGGATATTAATAAAGGAATATCTTATCTAGGCTATGTGGAAAATAACAGCAGTTAACTGAGTAACTAAAGTATTTAATATATAAAGTATTTAACAGGGGCTATAAAATATAGAGTGTGGCAGTGTCTACAAATAACAGTCAGGGAGATCTGCATGTTTCAGAGTCTGTGAATAAATTGACCCGATCAATCAACTCAAATCACAAGCATCACAATCTCCGCCCCTCTTTGCGCCTGCGCAAAGCCTCGTAGGGAGCTGTCCGTGTCAGTAGGTGCTGGAGTGTTTTCACTGAAGCCGATTCTCCCCCCGGTCCACCGAAACAGACGGGAGCGATGGAAGAAGAGTTAAAATGTCCCGTTTGCGGTTCTCTCTTCAAGGATCCCATCCTGCTGCCCTGCTCCCACAATGTCTGCCTGGCGTGTGCTCGGAACATCACCGTGCAGACCCCGGACGGGGAGACCCCGGTGCAGAACCGAGCTTCGGGCAGCTCTGACTACGACTACCTGGACATGGACAAGATGAGTCTGTACAGCGAGACGGACAGCGGGTACGGTTCGTACACGCCGTGCCAGCTCAAGTCTCCAAACGGGGTGCGGGTGTTTCCGCCGGCCAACCCCCACCGACACTGCTCGCTCACTTGCCCGCTGTGTCACCGGAGCGTCTCCCTGGATGAGCGGGGGCTTCGGGGTTTCCCTCGGAACCGGCTGCTGGAGGCCATCGTGGCGCGGTACCAGCAGAACCGCGCCGCCTCCTCCTCTTCTTCTTCTACCGCGGTAAAATGCCAGCTGTGCGACCGCAACCCGGTGGACGCGGCGGTGATGTGCGAGCAGTGCGATGTCTTCTACTGTAACGCCTGCCAGCAGCGGTGCCACCCGTCTCGCGGTCCGCTCGCCAAGCACCGCCTGGTGCCGCCGCGGACCCAAGCGACAGGAGGTGGCGCGGCAAGCGGAGGAGGGAGCGGCGGTCAGCAGCCGCCCGCCACTGCGCGGAAACCGGCGACCTGCGTGGATCACGAGGCGGAAAACTTCAACATGTACTGCTACAGCTGCAAGACTCCGGTGTGTATGAAGTGTCTGGAGGAGGGAAAACACGCCAAGCACGACATCAAACCGCTGGCCGTGATGTGGAAACAACACAAGGTGAGCGAACACGCGCGCACCCACAGTTTTATGTTCACAGGATACACTGAGCCTGAATGCCTTTAAGCAAACATTATTTATTTATTATATCAACAATTAGGATATTGTTCTACTGTTAAGTCCTAATGAGATGTATGGCTCACACACACTACAGTCTCTTTCTCTCTCTCTCTCACTCACTCACTCACTCACTCACTCACTCACATGCATGTGTGCTGTCAGGGACCCCCCCCCCCCATGTTTTTAAGCAGAAATACTCACCCACACACTCAACAGCAGTGTTTATTACCAGATGTACTAATATCACCTTACATGGTGTCAAACCAAAGCCTTTCTCATCTCATAGCATTCTTCTGTCATATTCGTGCTGGTTATTTGCTGGTAAATGTTTGCTAACTGCTTTGTGATGTTGCAAGTGAATTTGTACTAAACGGAGAGGATGCTACAGTCTGAGGTCAAATGTTAGTCACAGAAAAGTGAAAAAACATTGCAATCCTCTGTTGAGTTTAATGTATGTGGAACCCTGATTGATTTCACAATATTACAATAATAACTGTAGGCATTAAACCCTGGACTGTGTGCATGAGTCATTATTTGAATAGGTCACATGGCACCTCGTATTTCATGTGTACTGGCCTACATATGTATGTAATGGGTGATGTGAGCAGTGACTGTAGTGTGGGAGGAGGGGTTAGTTGTAGTTCCTCAGGCAGGATCAGGACGGGGTGGGATAATAATTAAAACTAAGCTTTTATTTAAGTTTAAAGAAATATGGTTATTAGTATCAGTATTCATTCATTATCAGTAATGGAAAATAAATTCATGTACTCAAAGTACTGCATTTTTGAGGAACTTGAGTATTTCCATTTTATGTTTTTTATACTTAATTATTCATAGCTATAGTTACTAGTTACTTCTCAGATCAAGATTTATATGTAAAACACACACACACACATATATATATATAATTTGTACTTTTCCTTGTGATACTTGAAGATATTTTGCTGCTAATACTTCTGTTTTTGAATGCAGGATTTGTACTTGTAATGGATTTTCTTTTATCCTTGTGGCACTGATACTTTTATTAAGTAAAAAAAAAAAAGTATTTCCAACACTGCAATTTATCTCGCTTATAGAAGCCAAAATATTTCGTAGCACAGTTGGGAACTGGTACTCTCCCTCTAGCTGTTGAGGCTGGCAGGAGATAAACCGACTGAGCTGTGTGATTTGGGACAAGTGGAAAAGTCCCATTTTCTTCTGTATTTATGTACTATGATGATTTAAAAGAGTAAATTTTCCAAAATGTCTAGACAAAACTTTAATATGTTAAAAAAATGTAAGGGCTGTTTAACTGTGTGTTTAAGTTTGCTAGCTTTACCTCAAAAGCCTGGAAAAGAAGGCAAGAGGAACGATTTAGTTTGTATTTATTATTATTATTATTATATAATATATGTTGTAAAAGGTCGGAAAACCTGACGGTAAACAGTATTCAAATTGGTTTGATTATTATTGTTTGAAAATGTACATGCAGTAGCCTAATCTGGATCTGGCTTATATTAATTTAGAGTTGCATTCATGACACAAAAATTAAAATCACTTACTGTAAAGCCTGGACAAGATTTGGCAAAAACCTCCATAACACAGTGTTTTGCCATCTAAGCCCATCCCTCCCCCACTCTCCCCCCTGCATGCCAAAAATCACCCGCCTGCTTCATTAAAGGATGATTAAAGTGATTTATGATTTCATTCATTTTTTTAATGACTCTTTCATTAATTTAACTGTCTGCTGTTGGGGTCAACTCCAGTTCATGTCTCTCAGGTTACAGTGTGACCCCACTGAACTGTTAACATTTTTATTCTGATGTAAGCCCAGATTAGATTGCACAGTGGGTGATTTGTGCAGCATTTTAACAGTATTTTAATTTTTAACAATACAATTTCCTTATTTATTATGAGATTATGGTTATTAAAGTCCCCAGGGCGGGACTCCAAAGTGTTCAAAGGAATATTAATACCACTAGAGCTAATATTTAAGAGGCTGCTGTTTGATTTTGTACAGGTTCATTCTTTTATCAGACGACTTCATGTGTTTACCAGGAAGGCGATCATTATCATGATCGTCAGACTTTTGTAAATCAAAAGCCATTTTGTCTGTCTCCTGCTAAGTGGGACACTGGGACTAATCTTTCTGCCTGTCTGTCTTTTTTTTTGTGTGTGATTCGAAGCCTCCAGTCTTTCCATTCATCATTTTTCTTCAGCTTCTTTCTGTCTTATGCTCATCATTCACCTTCTCCACATGTCTGCATCCCTTCTTCTCTTCATCTCTGTCTCTTATTTACACTCTCTCCTCCCCCTCATTTACCCTAATTTACTCCCGCCCTTCCTCCATCCTTCCCTCTATCACCCTGTCCCATAAATGGACCGTGAAAATCCCATCAGCGTGCAGGAGTGAGAGGGCGTTGATAAGTAATGAGCAGTGTATGAATAAGGGATAGCTGCCACTTAGTTAATACGGTGTCCTTCACGTTGAGGGAGATCGATAACAGAGTCTGACGCCGAACGGACACTTGGACAGGCTCCCAGCACCAAGTGCATCTAAATGCTTCTCCTTCTGTGCGCCCAAAGGATTTTTCTCAGGAATGACCAGATTAAACGTCTTGTGAAACCTTGAACAGGCTGAATACTGATTCCATTGATTGATTTTTTCAGTGCAGAGCCTGTATGAGCTTACAGGACACTGGAAAACAACAACCCACAACACATAACAAATAATGACGTACAGCTCCATACACCAAAAATGAAACCCTTTCAAAAGCAACATTACTTTGGCCAACAGAAGGAATGCCAGTACGAAACAATACAATGAAGCTAATATCGGTGGATGATATTAATCGAACTCTGGACTTCTGAAATTTCCAACTATAAGGATTCAGGTGCCATGTTCTTTTCATACATGTTCTTTCTATAAATGTTGCCAGAACCAAAATACCTTTGGACAAATTTTAACTGATTTTTTTTCAGTAGGCTGGTAAACTGGTAAGCTGGTAAGCTGGTACGGTCACTGTGTATGGTCCACCTTTTGTCAACCAAAAACCACACAAACACTGTGTACCAGGAATACATTTATCTACCTGGCGTACAAGACCAGTTCTTAACTTAGTGCTCAAGAACCTTTGTCTTCTCTTCAATAATATTTAATACATGGTTTTGTGGAGTAACCCTACTTGATCTCTATCTGGATATACTTGCTTTGCTTTGGCTACTTTCAGATATACATTTTTAATAATTTATTATATTCGTGAGTCATTTAGTAAGTTAAACCAGTTAATTACATCTTCAGGTAGGATGTTTGGATTGTTTAAATTCTCTCACTTTTAAGCACTTTTAAATCAATGATTATTTTAAGGATTTTAAGACCTGCAGGCCTCTGCAGCTCAAGGGAAATGTTCACGCACTGTCTGTTGTGTGTTTGCTCGGTGTTCATGTTGTTGGCTTGAAAATGTCATCCCGTGGATGTGAATAATATTTTTTTATTTACTATGGGCTGCTAGTGCATACATGATGTTGTACTGATGAATGACTGCTGTGTGTTGGGGGCATTTTACTGTGTGTTTAGTGGATTGTAGACTGAGAATAACATTATGTCTCATGTGGTTTACCATTACACACTGCAACAACAAGCATGGCTGGAGAAGACAGATCCAGAAAGGGAAGTGACTTCAGTAGTGTGGAAGTGGTTGGTTACCAAAGATCAGACGTAAAACAAACCATGTAATATACTGTAAGTAGTGCTAGAAGACTGTAACAACAAATGGGCTCAATACAACAAACTTATTATTCAGTATTTTGTCATATTTTCAAGAGTTATTGTAGAAATACCCTTAAATATTGTGATATAATTGTAGGACCATATTGCCCACCACTATTCTGAGCACATGTGTGTGTACAGTATGTGCATGTTTTTTTATGCTTTACAAGTCCTGTATCTAAAATATCAAGGAAAGGCATTTAGATCATCATTGTTGTAAATCAAACAGCCTGGGGTTGACTGTCCCACTGCTACACACTCAGAGGGACATACACACACTCACACACATATACATCCCACACACACACACACACACACACACACACACACACACACACACACTCAGAAGGCATAAATATGCATAAGTGAAGCAGATGAACTTCCGCTGTGGGAATGCAGAGGAAGACACACTGATCCAGTTCTCCCTGATCAGTCAAGCATAAAACACACTGTCTATTTATATTTAAAGCACACACACAAACACACACACACACACACACACACACACACACACACATGTGTGACTTATCTCAGTCCAGTTAAGAGCAGCTAGCTGTGGCACTGCTCTGAGTTAAATATTAAAAACCACAAATGCAGAGTTGCTAGTTCTCGTGCTGTGTGTGTTTCAGTGTTTGCACCGTCATGATTTTAGATTTTTAAATGGGACAGATTTGGCTTTTATCATATTAACATATATGCCTAAGTATTTCTGGTGGACAGTAGCAATGGTATTTGTGAACTGAAGCTGATAATTAAAGTTTTGTGCTATTACCATGTGAAAAGTGTTTCTTGTTATGTTAGAACTGTTGTATATACCAAGACAGACAGACTCATTATCCTGCAGAGTGGCTCTAAAGTTAAACCATAAGATGTGTACCTGCATCTCTTACCTACCTCCTCTCTCTATATATTTTTTTCACCATTTACCTTTAAGCCATTTTGCACGCAGCTTTTGGTTCAAGGGTCTCTCGCTCCACAACCCTATCTTTTAGAAATTACATTTATATACTCAATTTAAACAGCAAACTTTTGGGGAAATTTAAGTTAAAATGTTGCACATATTGGTAAAATGTAAACATTGTAATTTGCTACAAGATTATGCAAAGGTGGTCTGGGTTAAACATTTGGTGTTTCCTTTATTGTAAGTTAAATGAAACCACAATCTTTCCTTAACCTTAACGACTCTGGCTGT